TACTACAGTTGCCTGGTAGAAACTGCATATTTTTTTCAGCCCCACTGTTCAAGAGTACAGAGAATAGTGTGGAAAATTACATTTGAATACAATTAAGCAATGTGACTTCAGTGTTAAGATGAGTGGGTATGTTTGTATCAGTTCCACCTAGTGGATTGACACCTTGCATAATTATCCCACATAGATCCACAGAACTTGATTTCCTGCTGCCCCCCCCCTTTTTTTGTCCTCCACACTCCATTTCTTTGCTACTTTTCTAAAGAAATATTTTCAGGGTGGCTTATTTAAAAGTAACAAATGATATAGTTATAAAATCTAGAAAATTGAAAATTTTAGTAGTAAAAAGGCCTGAGAAAATACAAAGGAGAAGAGTACAACAGCACCGTCCTGGTCATGTCCCACAGCACCTGATATACCAAGGCATACTTCCTTGCATAAGTTGAGGCAGAGCTGGGTGATGGTGCTCTTACAATCCAAAGGGCACATACACTGCAGAAATGCCAAGAATGCACTATAGAACATTGATTACACACAGACATAAAATCCACCCCACTCTACAATTAGACCCCAGAATCCTCCCACAACTGAAACCTCATCTGCTGGATAAAATGAAGATTCACTCATGTCAATCTTCAAGATGGTGCATGAGTTCACTGATGTGATGGTTGTGATGAGGAACAGAGAAAGAACATGGATTAGACGCTTAAGCAAAGCATGAGTTTCTCAAAATCTGCCTTATAAGATCACCTTAAATCAAGACTGGTGGCATAAAGCTCACCACATATAGTGTAGTCAATGCAAATCTTTATATGCAACCCAAGTTACAGACATACAACGTGTACATACCACACCAAATGTTGTTCTGTCTCTTACCCTTACTTGGAAAGAAGCAGTGTCAGTCTCTGCTTTGTCAAGCAGTTCTAATTCTACTAGAGAGAAAAAATGTGACCCTCCCAGGAGGGCATCAGTGGAACCCCAGGAGGGGGGATTTGGCTGCTAGATCCAGGGTTGCTCACTGCCAGTATAAGAACTGTTCGAGTAAAAGTTTTAAATTTCTACTTGTTAAATGCAATGTATGCTTGAAGAATCTAACTTCAATCAAAAGTCTGAGTGTCCCTTCTTCAGAGGGGAAGCATTTATTGGAAATATATCAGGTAGAATAGTCCTTTAGTCTTACTGTGTTAGATTTTTTTTACAAAAATGTTTCCCAACTGACTTTTTTGACTACTAGTTATGCTGTTTTTGGTATTAATACAGGACTCTAGTATGCTAATACCAGGTATTACAACAGATGTAGAATCCACATGTAAAATCAATCCTTAGTAGGAAGAGCACTGCTGCTGTTTAACATGCCATTTGAGTGGCTTATGTGTTTAATTCATATTCTTCTCTCCCCACAGGGATGATATTCTTAAATCAAATGGCATGGGGATTTCCCTATCTTCATGGAAAGATCAATGATAACTCTTCTTCCAAAGTCATTGCTGTGGCTTGGAACGGGGTGAAAAACAGAGGAAAGGGAGGAACAGGGGTAGGGTGGGGAAGAGGATGTGGATCCACTGAATCTTCAAGGCTCTCAGTCATCACCTGACCCCACTCCTCCTCATTCACCCACCTTACCTTGCTTTGGGTTTGGACAGGTGGAGAGCTCTGATGTTGGAAACATCTATCTGAAGACCAGAAAATTCTTTAGGATTGCATTCAAAATCTATTAAAAAAGAAAATGTTAACACTGATATAACACTGTAATCAACACATCTGAAAGGTTCCTAGAACTACTTTTGTAAGCAGCTGTCTCTGAGACACTTCATTAAAGAGGTGCTGCAGAGTAGGTAGGTTGAACTCTGTTCCTGGTGTGCTGGAGATGCAGTCTTTGAAGTTCTGCTCAGAAGAAGATGAATCTTCACTCTCTGGCTCCAGAGTGTCTCTCCTCACCAGCAATGGCATTTACATTCGTGTTGACATGAATTACCTGCCGCAAGTCGTATTTGCTGGAGGTTCTACAAACCATCAAGACACAGAGCTTCCCAAAGTGCAAGATGTGACCCAGTGGGATTTCTGAAAGCAATCAATGATGTTTCCAATCCAATTTATCTCAGACTAGAGAGAAGACACGGTAGAGATTAGGAACTGACAGGAAGCCCAGGAGATCCAGCACATTTGGGAAGTGGCATAATTTCATGAAGCTTTAAGGAACATGTTGTTGTTGTTGTTAGTCGCGAAGTCGTGTCCGACCCATTGCGAGCCAATGGACAACATTCCTCCAGGCCTTCCTGTCCTCCACCATCTCCCAGAGTCCACCCAAGCTCACACCAACTGCCTCAGTGACTCCATTTAGCCACCTCATCCTCTGCTGCCCCCTTCTTCTTTTGCCATCTATTGTTCCCAGCATTATGCTCTTCTCCAGGGAGTCCTTCCTTCTCATTAGGTGGCCAAAGTATTTGAGTTTGATCTTCAGTATCTGGCCTCCTAAAGAGCAGTCAGGGTTGATCTCCTCTAGGGCTGACCGGTTTGATCGCCTTGCAGTCCAAGGGACTCGCAGGAGTCTCCTGCAGCACCACAATTCAAAAGCCTCAGTCCTTTGGCGCTCAGCCTTTCTTACGGTCCAGATTTCACAGCCATACATTGCAACTGGGAAAACCATAGCCTTGACTATATGCACTTTTGTTGGCAGGGTGATGTCTCTGCTTTTTATGCTGTCTAGATTTGCCATAGCTTTCCTCCCCAGGAGCAAGCGTTTCTTAATTTCTTGGCTGCAGTCCCCGTCTGCGGTGATCTTGGAGCCCAGGAAAATAAAATCTGTCACTACTTCCATTTCTTCCCCATCTATTTGCCAGGAAGTGAGAGGACCAGATGCCATGATCTTAGTTTTCTTAATGTTGAGTTTTAAGCCAACTTTTGCACTCTCCTCCTTCACCCGCATCAAGAGGCTCTTTAGTTCCTCTTCACTTTCTGCCATTAGAGTGGTATCTTCTGCATATCTGAGGTTGATATTTCTCCCAGCAATCTTAATTCCAACTGGAGATTCATCTAGCCCCGCCTTTCTCATGATGTGCTCTGCATATAAGTTAAATAGGCAGGGCGACAGTATACAGCCTTGCCGAACTCCTTTCTCAATTTTGAACCAATCGGTGGTTCCGTGTCCAGTTCTCACTGTTGCTTCTTGATCCACATATCGGTTTCTCCAGAGACAAATAAGATGGTCTGGTACTCTCATCTCTTTAAGAACTTGCCACAATTTGTTGTGATCCACACAATCAAAGGCTTTAACATAGTCAATAAAGCAGAAGTAGATGTTTTTCTGGAAATCCCTAGCTTTCTCCATGATCCAGCATATGTTGGCAATTTGATCTCTAGTTCCTCTCCCTCTTTGAAATCCTCCCTGTACTTCTGGTAGTTCTCGGTCCACATACTGCTAGAGCCTAGCTTGTAGGATTTTGAGCATAACTTTGCTTGCATGTGAAATGAGTGCAATGGTGCAGTAGTTTGAACGTTCTTTGGCATTGCCCTTCTTTGGGATTGGAATGTAAACTGACCTTTTCCAATCCTGCGGCCACTGCTGAGTTTTCCAAATTTGCTGGCATATTGAGTGTAGCACTTTTACTGCATCGTCTTTTAAGATTTTGAATAGCTCAGCTGGAATACTGTCACCTCCGCTAGCTTTGTTGTTGCTCAGACTTCCTAAGGCCCATTTGACTTCACATTCCAGGATGTCTGGCTTGAGGTCAGTGACCACCCCATCGTGGTTATCAGGGACGTTAAGCTCTTTCTTGTATAGTTCTTCTGTGTAATCTTGCCACCTCTTCTTAATCTCTTCTGCCTCTGTTAGGTCCCTGCCATTTTGGTCCTTTATCATGCCCATCTTTGCATGAAATGTTCCCTTCATATCTCCAATTTTCTTGAAAAGATCTCTGGTCCTCCCTATTCTATTGTTTTCTTCTATTTCTTTGCACTGTTCATTTAAGAAGGCATTTTTATCTCTTCTAGCTATTCTCTGGAATTCTGCATTCAATTGTTTGTATCTTTCTCTTTCTCCCTTGCCTTTTGCTTCCCTTCTTTCCTCAGCTATTTGTAAAGCTTCCTCAGAAAGCCATTTTGCTTTCTTGCATTTCTTTCTTTTTTTTGGGGGGGGGGGGGTTTTTTTTGTTACCTCTTGTACAATGTTGCTAACCTCTGTCCATAGTTCTTCAGGCACTCTGTCTATCAGATCTAATTCCTTAAATCTATTTGTCACCTCTACTATATATTCATCAGGGATATGATTTAGGTCATACCTGAGTGGCCTAGTGCTTTTCCCTACTTTCTTCAATTTAAGCCTAAATTTTGCAACCAGAAGCTCATGATCTGAGCCACAGTCAGCTCCTGGTCTAGTTTTTACTGACTGTATAGAGCTTCTCCATCTTTGGCTGCACAGCACATAGTCAATCTGATTTCTGTGTTGACCATCTGGTGATGTCCAAGGAACATACACAGATAAAAAATTTTATTTACCTAGTTATTTGCCAACTGTTTTAAAAAAGACAAATGTAGACCATTGTTGGCATAGCCAATTGCAGTTTATTGTTTTAAAAAGCCTTCCTCATACAAATTCCCTGATAATTTATATCACCAGCTTTCAGCAGTAGGATGGCAGAGTGCAAACAAAACTGTACTTCAAACAAAATGGCTGCAAAAAAGTCTTAAGAGGCATCCTGATGTTCTGAATTTTGGATGTGCTGTTTCTCTTCACAAAAAGAGTTTGATAGAAATTTTCCACCTTTATCATCATCACCACATAACCTCTCACACAGATTATGCCCTTACAGTTTGTCCTGTATTGCATCATTTTCCTTTTGTAAATGCCAAGATTTCAGGTTATTGAAATGAAATTGTCTTTTTGAGACAGATACTACAAAACAGTATATATTATTACAGTCAAACTTCAGGTATCCTCAAGACCAGGATAGAAATATTTGGCAGTAATTTTGTTGACTATTTGCATGAAATCAAACCCACTAAATATTTCTGCTGGCTCCAACAGTGCAAATACCATCAGTAGTTTAGCATTCAAGATACCAAGCCAACAAGCAAAATTGCTTACTCCCTTTATGAACCGAAGACTGGTCCTTTTTACAAACATGAATCGAAGTACTAAGTTTTAGCTGAAATATGAACTTGTGTCCTTTAGAATCTGAGTTGTTTTAAAAGCGCTGCTATGTTTAGTTAAACACTTGAGTGCATTAAGATATACCTAGAGATTTGACCATGTATTTAATCTGCACAGAAATCAATATGGGCTAGTAACTCTCTATGCTGGCTTGTAGGATATTGTGCTTTACATTTGGGGCATTCCAGGAAACTTTCATCGAGAAGGTTTGTACGTTTTACTGAAGAATGTTTGTCTTCTATTATCAGCTTGTCTTCAAAGGCAGACTGGAAATTGTGGAAGGCTTCTGTACATCCTCCACATTCTGTAAGTTTCTGGAGGAAAAAAATCCACACTTGAAATATGTGTCTTATAGCCCTATGTATATTATAATGCAAACTTGCAGTATTTATTTATAGGATAAAATAACTAAACATGCAAGAATGAAATTACCAAGGCTATAATGACCTGCTCTCATGTTTTTCAATGAATTTATACCACTTGTTTCAACACTCACAAAACAGGACCTGAATAGGAGACTGTGTACAAGACAGATAGGGTGCCTCACCTTAATGTCAGCAAAGAGGATGCATAGGTTTCCAAGAAGGCAGACCAGGTGTCTATATATATGCATCTTTATGGTATTTGCATGGGGATGCCAGGAGTTCACAAAGAGCTACAAGTCTATAATTCACTGTTAAACAGGCAATATATAGCCAAAATAGCAATTAATCTGCATCTCTTAATTCTTATTATTCAAAACAGAATGGAGATGCTGTTCAAATAACTAGCCCAGGGATATACAAAGCAAGAGCAAATTCATACACACAAAACCTAGAAGGAAGTTATCTCTTAGTAGCATAGGCTTTGCTGACATTTCAAGTTTAACAAGAATGAAGCTTAGGTGGAGCTCTAGTAATAGATTATATAGTTCACCTGTTTAATAAAACTATATATTACGTAGAGACATAAAAATGAGTGCTGGCTATACTGAAATTGCAGTTAAATGTATAAAGTAGTCTCTACAAGCCATTTATAATACATTTTTTGCATTTTTCTATTTCTTCAGGTCCTCCAAATTGCTATCAGAAATAAACCAGCCCAATCTAGTAAATGCATCTGCTTTTCTTGATGCTAAATAGAATTAACAGGAGAAAGTGGAAGACACAGGTTGCTGGTACATAGTAACCCCAAACTAGCCAAGCTTAGCTGATAACTCCAGGAGTAATTGCACATATGTACTTTTACATGCTTGTACTTTTAAAGAATGTGGATTCTCACTGTGGCAACGGGGGGAGCAGCACAAAAGATGTTGCAGTTAAATATAAGAGGAACAACTGTTTTTTGTAGTAGTAATGGTAGTGTGTATACTGCATGGAAGAACATCTAAATCTCATTTGTTGGAGATCTGTCAAAAGCAGTACACCTGAAAGTTCAAATATATCCAAAATATTTTAAAATTTATCTGCAAGATACTGTTTTAATACTGAAAGTAGAGACTCTCAGGATAGTACATACTGGAGCAGATAACCTAATGTGCTTGCTTGTTCTCCCTCTCCCTCTGTGTGTGCGAGTGCACACGTGTGTTGGGGGTGGAGGGGAAACCACACGTGCTCATAGGCAGAAACAAGATATTCCCAGAATAAACAACTCTAGCTCAAGAACAAGAGCGTTGCAAATCAATAGAACACATTATTGGTAGAAAAAGGGAGGAACACTGTACTACTCACTGAGGGTTCAAGACCAGTTATTCGGTTCCTTTCCTTGCGCAGTTCTTTGAGAAGTTTATTCAACTGATGTTGCAAATTTTGGCGATCAAGCTTTTCATTCTCAAAGTCAGATGTACATGCCTGGATCTGGCAAGAAACTTTGTGTGAAAACTGAGAGGCATTCCTGCACATTGCATATTGCACGTTATAGATAAAGGGTATTTTAAAGTGGCCTTTTTATATTTTACTGTTAAAGTATCCAGTTTTAAAGTTCTGGCTCTGCACCACATACTCAGTAAATGTTTCACCTTTTTAGGCCTCTAAAAGCCTGATTTTAACAGTGGGATTAAAGAGGCAGAGAAGCAACTAAATGACAATACAGTGGTTGATTTACCTTTCAGTTCTGTTGAAAACTTAAATAATCAGCTGTTACAACTGACAAATGGCTGCTTTCAGAAAGGTATAATACCTTTCTCAGTATTAGGAAAACTAACTAATTTGCTTGTAGAACTTAAGAATTTTTTAAAGAATTGAAATGAAAAACATGCCTATGGATTTTAGTTTACACTGAGAAAGGACAGGAATGGTAGTGTCACCAAAAGTAGTACAGTGCAAATTGGTACCTGCTGTTCCAAAACTGCTATCCTTGCGTGATCTTCCTGCTGTTTTAGCAAAGATCTGTGAAGCAGTTCAACCTATAAACACATTCAAAAGACTGTATTGAAATAATTGCATAAAAAATAATAGTTTTCAAAATGGCTTCCGTGTCTCAGCCTGGATGGCTGAGAAGTACCAGTGCATTTCCATGGGCTACAGAGGTGGGAAAATGAATCTATAGAATGTGGCTGCCTTGGGAAGGTTGGGTCACACATGCATGGGCTCTTAGCCAGCCTCCTCTTGGTTCTGTATTTCCCAGTCAGAATCAGACTTAGGCATGGGGAAGGTCTAAACCTATCACATATGCAAGTGGGGAGTCATCATTCAATCCAAACAAAGTTATTCCCAGAAATGTGTTTCTTTGGGTAGCAATCTCAGGATGGGCTTCACAGTTAGGCAAGAAAAAAATGGAAAATCAGTTTCTAGGGGATTCAAGCCTAATTTGCACATTTTACCTATTGGAGTGAGTGGCAGGAGCAACCCATCCAGGAGTTCCTCCACTGTTGGAGCAGAGCAGTGACCCCTTCTTTCTCCCCACTTCCTGTTTAATGCAAACAAGGGAATCAGCACATGGAAGCAGCCTTTCATGGCAGACTTAGAAAGGATGGGCATCCTACTGTTAGTGCTTTTCAGTTATTACAGTGGGATGTGCACTTTGACCTGCATTCACATGTGTACTTGCTACTGAAAGCAATGTGATGTGGATAAAACACTGGCAGTTTGGATATACATTTGGATGAGTGTCTGGTATCACTCACAGTCCCCTATTGTTTCCCTTCACCCTAACGCCAAGACTCAAGGGCTCTTTACTAACATCAGTAGTTCCTGGCAGCATATTTGTGCAACACTGTCCCCGCAAAGAGAGTGCAAGATTTGGGAGTGGGCAGTGGTGCCGTGCTTCAGTGTTCCATCTGTATGAACCTCCTGCAGGCATGTTGTTTTTTCCACTGTGGTACCCATTTTGTCTGCATTTGGAACACTCACTTTATCAATGGGAGACCGATGTCATTTGCTACAATTTATTTCATCCTGAATGAATTTAATATCCAAAAGTCTTTTTTGTTTGTCTGATTAGCTTGGGTGAACAAAAGGCAGCTATCAGAAACCACTGGTATTTTGGATCAATGGTCAGGAATACTGAAAGTTGATATCTTGTGAACTTGTGAAGATCTACTTTCTGTTCATCCTGGAGGTAACGCATCCATTCTGAATTATGGGAGTAGGATTCTGTTTATGTAATTGGCACCTAGTTCCAGACACAACTATTCATGTATCACATGTTCTGTTGGGTAGCTCCATATTTGTTAACAATGCTCATGTGTATACAAAAGACAAGGAAATAGCTTCATTTTTCAGGGGAAAAAGCCAATGCAGCCACAAAATATTTGTCAGAGACTGTTTCAGTCATCAGTTTTCTTTACAACTGACATTTTGCACATAGCAAACCTTGGTCATTGGTTGGACATTCCATGAGAGGGATTAATATAGGTGAAAGAGTTCTGCCTGATATTGGACATTAACATACCACAAGTGCTAGCAAGCTGTATTTGGCCCCTCCTTCCATGCAGTACACATGCTACCATTACTACTGCGAAAACAGTTGTCCCTCTTATATTTAACTGCAGCATCTTTTGTGCTGCTCCCCGTTGCCACAGTGAGAACCACTGTGCAACATTAAATACATCTATGGATGTATTTCTTATAATGATATACTAAACATTTGATTAAGACTGCACATTCTAACTGGATCTATTACTTTGCTGCTGCCCTTTCCCATTATTATGATTGCTCCTTTCATTGTGACTGCTTATCGTTTATTTTACTGCTGGCCTGTGGAAGTGTTAAGCGGTTCTATGGGTTGTAACTTTTACTGTTTGGGACCTTTTATACTGCAGCCTTAATTATAATATTCTCTCTTATTGGTTGTTAGTACCATCAGTGTTATTGTGCTATTAGCTTTACAATTTTAAAATGATTTATGTTGCATGTGCTCCCTTCAGGCAGACACTCTTTTTCAACATCTGAAAGAATCACAGCAATCATTCTATACCCACTTGAGATGCAAGAGCTTGCGATCGCTTTCGTTCATCATCCAGCTTTCCTTTGGTAACTTCATTTTCATGTGTAAGCCTCTGTAGTGTCTGCCCTTTAATCTGATTTTCATCTTGAAGTGCCTGAATATCAACCTGTTTGTGTAGTTTCAACTGGTCTTTTAAATTCATCACCTCTTGCTTGGCTTCATCATACTTCCTTTTGAATCCATTAAGGTCAGATTGCAACTTGGTTATGGTGTGCCTTTCTGTGTCAAGAGCTTTTCTGGCAGCTGCCAGTAACTCTTCATAATATCTTTCCTTGTCTTCTTCCAGGATCCCAACACAAGACAAAGAAACATGGAACAGAAAATGGGGTGGGGAAAATACTTCAGCAAAGATTCTCAGTGAACTTCATGCTGTACTTCACAAGTATTAAGGCAAAGTTATGCCAGGATCCAGTAACACTACAATCTCACATGCTTGTGCAACTTTAGAACAACCCAAGAAAATATAGGCATAACAGCCCCTCAAGGTGCATCATACTTTAGCATCCATAAAATAGTATACTTCCTCTTCCAGTGACTACCCAGATGAACCAATTCAAACAAAGCTGGGTTCAAAATCAATGACTAATTTAAAACAAACCAATACTAAGTTTCTTTTAAAAGAATAATTTATTATTAAACAATCTAAACAAGTTAAGTGTAAGAAATCGCAGCATGCTTCACAGTTAACCTGCAAAGTTAAGTAGTGTTGTATTCGAAAATAGTTTTTTAAAATCGAAAATCCAATTATCCAATCATCTAAATAGATTACAGGAAGCATCTTGGCAGAATATACATAATGGTTTAATTCTAAACTAACATGGCACAGTGGTCACCTTTGCAACATTCTTTAGGAAATAGATAATAATACTGAGAAACTTAATTTAAATTTGTCATTTTCTTGCTGATTTTAATGAAGACTGAAACAGTGGATTTAAGTATTAATTAAAATAAGCAAGAAAATCCTGCTTTTAAAACTCACGACTGCTTCGCATATGGCACCTTATATTACTCATATACAACAATACTCCAAAACAATTACCTCTGGGTAGAAAATGGGAGCTCACTTTTTTCAGGTAAGAGGTGCTTGCTTTGTATGATTGCAAAATTTTAGGGTTGGAAGGGATCCTTGATGGATAACTTGTCCAGTTTCTGGTTATCTATCTCCAGTGAAGAAGAAACTACAGCTTTCTGAGGCAGTCCTTTCTACCACTGACCACATCATCATTTGGGGTAGAACCGTTACTTCTCCATGGAAGCAACACTGCAGGCCATAAGACCTATTCACCTGATTGCCACAGCCTACAAACTCTATTGACTATATAGGACATGAAAGGCAGTTGCCATGGTTTATCCTGATGTCCAAACCTGGCAAAGGTGGATTGCTGGCATGGTTAATAAACTAGCTCCAAATCTAAAATAACCCTTGACTTCTGCTAACCACACCAACAACCCTCCCTCCTCAGATCCAGATGTCACAACAAGTTACAGTGACCACCTTCTGCACCTGAACATTCAAAAGGGCAGCTGCACAGACATGGCTTATCATGGCAGACTACAGTGACCATGTGAACCCAGTCATCATCTGCTCCTCCTGCTGGGAAATACAAGATTGCTTCAGAAGTCACAATATCATTGCAGGGGCTCGTAGAGTAATTTTCTTATGGATGAAACAACCAGGAGTCCAGGGAAGAGCAACACTTTTGGGCTAAACTTGGCTCACAGAACTGGATAGCTAGGCAGGTTGTGCAAACAAGTGTTCTTGACTGCCTATCTCATAATAAATTGGGAAGTCACCTCAGCATCTACTGGGCTATTGCTCCAGCTCCCAAACACCTTGACTGGGGTAAAGGCCATCCCAATTACATATGAAACTGGGAACATGCCTTTTTATACTATTATCCAAAGACAAAACCAGCTCCTTTACGGGTGGCTCTATGAACTCTCAGTTCTTTGGAGCCTGGATTCACAAAACAAAACCACAGTGTAGTGATGGATAATGGGACAGAATTCAGTGCTTCAATATGTATTAGCTGCAGGATTATAGCAAGAATCAGCTAATGAATGCATTGTACAGAAGCAGTTAATATTGGTGCAAGACAGATATTTAATGGGCCTAAGAAACTAGCACAGGAAACCAGCTGGAAGGCAAAAAGCCCTATGAACTTGTTAGCAAGAAGCTGCTCCAGAATTTTCTGCTCAATTGAATAGATAATTCTTAGAGATGAACACAACTCCATAAAACTATTTTCCAATAATATATGTTTAAAAATCCACACCTAAAAGAACAACTTTTATGTGTCAACATGCTGGATGTCTTGACAAGCCTAATCAACATGAATCTATTTCCTCTATGGCTGGCAGCTAAACAATAATCAGTATAGTTTTGGCACCAGTGGAAGCCTGCATTTCAAAAAAAAAGTTAAGAATTAGATTTCATAGTGTTATGTTTTTAAAAGTCCATCAATTTAAAATAAAAACTGATCTCAGGCCAATCTTCTCTACCTAAGCTATTTTCTGAGAATTCTGTTCAGTTTCAGGAACAGTCAACCAATACCTTCTATCTTGGTTTCTTTTGCTTGCTGTTGGTTAACTGTTTCCAGCTGCTTCTCCATTTCAAAGATCTTTGCCAAAAGGCTCTGAACATAAGCCTCACGCTGCTGGTCATATATTAGCCACTGCTGGTTTTTCTCCAAAGCCTTAAGGGTGAAGGAAAGTATAAAATTAGTAAGACTGATTTCTGGGCGGAAAGTACCCTACCTTTGAGTAAATTATGCTACTATAAGTATTTCAAATGCTTTGCAGTGGTTACTAGTCATGATGGCCATGTGCTACTTCTAGTATCGGAACAGGCAGCATGAACAGGAGTGTATGACTTTGCTCAGGTCCCGCTTGTGGGCTTCTCATGGGCACCAGGTTGTCTGCTGCAAGAACGGAATGCTGGACTAGGTAGGCCTTTGGTTCAATTCAGCAAGGCTCTTATATTTGTTCTAAAAAATGCTTTTCAAGAGAATGGACTTATGATCTGCAAGGTCTAGTAGTGTGGTGTTTCAGCTGATCAGCTTAACATTTACCCCTGGTGGGTATACTGCAAACTGGTATCACAATCTTTATCTATTACTAGCCCTCTAAGCAACAGTTTGAAAGGAATGTGTAACGATGTGGTCAACATATAGAATTACTGTATTTTCTGAGAAGGAATGCGAGACTTGCTCTTAAGTTATAAGGCAGGCACCTTCTGTGAATGGAAAAACTCAATGAAATAAATGGGAGAAAGGAAATGTGTTTAAAAATGAAATGCTTGGCTCATGTTGTTTCTCTAACCTGAGCTCTCTGTGGCTGCATAACCTAAGGGAGTTAATGGAATGGGATGTGTGAGCTGGGCAGGCAAGCAAGCAGTGTAGTAGCAATTCGCTCAATTTTTAAGTTCTCTAACTAAACCGTCTTTCAAAAGTCCAAAGGCCACGCATTCTCAAGCACGCTGTTGGCTTTGTTTTGTTTCCTTTGTAGAGCCGTCCCTCAAATCCTCTCCATGCCCGTCTTACCTAGTGTGTGAGTAGCACAGTGCTCTTGTATCCCAGGCTTGCCAATTTGGTACTGTTGGGAAGCACGGTCAGTGCTACCTGGCAAAGCACATCAGGAAGGCACTAGATTGGACTAGGAGAAGTTATTGCAACCACCACCAATTAACAGTTCAACTCTAAAAGAACTCATAAAGTTCTTATTTGTATTAAGATTAAAGAACTTAAGGCAGGATACCATGCCAACATAGAGACACCATCTCTTTAAAAAAGATTTTCTTCTTACTTTAAACTTTTTGCAAAGTTTAGAATATTTTCCTCATTTTAATTTTAATGTCACATAGATTCCACTTCCTTACAGTATATTGGTTTTTCTTTAACTTCATACTATGCCCAAGCATTTCTGTCATGTTTACACATGCCTGTCTTGGTCCATACAAAACAGACTGATACCAAGGTTATAGTGAGATTCTTCATACAAAATAATGTTGAGTGTTCTATTGGTCCAATTAGTCAGTTAAGGGCAGCAAATTAGATTATGTAAGTGTTTATAAATGGGTCGCTGAAAGGGATGGTGCATAGGACAGAAAGAAAAACAATTCTAATGTTCACACATCAGCACAACCAAGAGGTATTTCCTAAGGTAGAGGTAGACATACCTCAGCCTTGTAGGACCTATGCTGTTTTTACTAGACATTTGAGTTTCACTAGCCAAACTCTGGTACAAAAGCTACATACTTGGAAAGCAAAGAATTCTGATGCAAGGAATATGTCTTGAAGATCAGAAGAGAGTGGACTCATTACCCCACACTTTCTTAATTTTAGCAATATGAATTGGGAGAGGGTTATTTTGTTGCCAATCTACTGTAGCTCACCAAGAAATAGACTAGTAGATCCAGGAGTACCATCTATTCATCCCTACCTATTGATTCCTCCTCAGAAAAATCCCACCCTTCACATGTGCAGCAGTGCTTTCAATATGCATTTCCCCAAAGAATCCAGGATGTCAGAAAATGTAAATATAAATGTGAAGTTAAGGAAATTTTATCAGCAAGATCAGTTTTATTTAAGATCAAGAAAACCTTGTAAAGATAGAGCAAGTATATGCATGCCATCTGTAGATATAGTTGGACATGATCTACAAACAATGCACATTTTAAAATACCTCAGCAAATACAGACAAACTATTTAAGAGATTCCCCGTGAAGCTCTTAAGCCCGAATGTGTACAGGACTGCAAACTTGCTGTATTGTAACATACATCTCAAGAGTCAGCTATACTTTTTAAACATTATTTCTTAATGTTAGGTTAGAGGTTGCTTGAGAAACTGTTTCCTCAGTAGTGCCCCAACTTTATGGAACTCTCCCAGGAGACACACAGTAGTCCACCTGAGTTGAAGCATTTAAGGTGGTTTGACTATCCACCTGTTTCAGATTACATTTAACTGACTTATCTTACTGCTTTTCTCCTGTCTCATTACAGCTCTGAGAAGTTTTTATAATGGATAAATTACATTTTGATATATGACTGATTTCTTGTACATTGTTGTACTTACTATTTTTACACTTGTATTTTACTCATCATCAAGGACAGAGTTGGTCTGGAAAGGTGGCTTATAAATATTTAAACAAATTAAAAGGAATGTTCTATCAAGATTGGTACCAAATATTTTTTAAGATGCATACGTTGCATGTTAAAGAAAAATATGCACAAAATGAGCTGTGCAAGTGGTTACAGATCTGGAGGACAGTAGTCACAAATCTTGACAAAAAGTTTAATTTCCTATATTTAGACCTATAAAACCTTCAGGCCACATATACTACCCAAAGGGTTAGCATCTAAAACAATGCTATCTGGCAAGTCTATTAAGGGCACAATTCTATGCATGTTTAGATATAAAGCATATTAGGAGTTGCAGGCCTTTCTTCCAGTGTTGGGGACTCGAGTCAAGTCACTTGCTATCAAGTCGCATTAGTGACTTGGGTGACTAGTGAGTGACTCAATGAGTGAGTGACTCAACTCAAAATGTTTACATTTTTTACAAACAATTTGTTGCAGAGCTTACTGTGCAGCTGGATATCTTGGAAGGCAGGCACAAACATAGCAAACGCAGTGAGAGAGAGGACAATTCAAAGGAGCAGGGTCAGGATAGGGAGGAGGGGGTTACAAGGCAGGAAATTGGTGGGAGGGAGGGAGTTTCAGAGGTGGGGGCAGGATAGGGATTTTATTTGTTTGTTTACATCATGGTTGAAGTAAAGGACTTCAATGCAGCACTGAGAGAAGTACAGATGGCAACATCAGGGAGGTTTTCTACTGCCCCCCCCACCTCTTCTTTCTGTTAAAGTTGGGCTTTGAGACTTGAGAGAGACTTCAGAATTTCTTGCAGTTACTTGAAACTCAACTTGGACTTGAAAGTAAACATTCAAGACTTGTAGTAAAGGACTTGAACACATCACTGCTTGTGTCATTGCTCCAAGTTTGGTCAAGATTCATAAAACTACTTGGACCCACATAAAAGGTTTCTCCTAGCCCAGTGGAATGTATCTTTCTTAGAGCCAGCTGGTGTATCTTGGCCTGAACCAATTCTTCTATGCCTTATGTCTTTTGGTTTACTATATTAAAACTGCATTCCTATGTACCTCTACTGCAAATAAGCAAAATTTGAACTAGTAAGACATACAGTGGTACCTCGACTCATAAAAGCCTCAGTTCACAACCAAATTGGGTTGCAAACAGTAATTTCAGAAAACATTGGCCTCAGGTTGTGAACTCCACATCAGGTGATGATCGCTCACGGTCATGCTATGGGGGGGGGGGGGGGGGATGGCCACGATCTTTGTTGTTCTTTGTCACTTTGTTTCAAATTTTTGTGATTAAAAAATGGTTACAGAACAGATTAACCTTATTTACGTTGAACCTTATGGGGAAATTTGACTTGGCTCACAATCAATTTGGGTTGCGACCAGAGTCGTGGAATGGATTAAGTTTGTAAGCCAAGGTACCACTGTATTTCCAAGTAAACATGCATAGAATCAATATGAATTGTCTATATTTCAGTATTTTTCTGCAGTAGTGTAAACAGACACTCAGAGAATATCCATCTCATTTTAAAGAGTCTTACATCTTTCAGGAGGATTTCAACTTCATTTACATTTACTCCAGAGCAGGCTGAAACTGTTTCCTGAAAAAACAACCACCAAGAAAATTAAAAATAGTTTGATTTCTTTAGATAGATACATATGAATCTCTTTACAAGACAGGAGCACATACAAGCATGTTATGTCATACACATTCCTACATAGGCATATTGCATCTAATAGAAAACTGTCATTTTTCAAACATGTGGAGCACTTCATGCCCAATACACTGAATTTCTTACTAATTATTTTCTATATTATAGATCAGAAGGTAGTTCAGTGTACCTTTATTGAAATTAAAGGTCTTATTTACTATTCCCAGACTATTACTGTGGATGGAAATATGTCACAAACTATCATATTACTTGGATTAGCTCATCATAAGTTGCCTATTTTGAACTCAATACACTACATTTATGTGTTCAGGACAAAGGTATGCAGCTTGCTAGGTTAATGGTAAATAGATTTGACACCTTTAATTAGAAATCATGGGAATCCAGGGGATGTATGGCATTAATGGCTTGTCTTAAAATGGTTTTTAAGAAAAAAAATGCAGTCAGGAGCCATTTTCAGCAGGTATTATTAATTTGAACATCATTTGTAAGTCTTCTAGACTGTTGAACATAATTTTATAAGGAAGAATATATTGTGTCCAAACAAGAATTCCAACTATATACCTACAGTGCTCTGTATGCAATCTACATTCAAGAAAAATTTCTGATGTTTGTCAATAATCCTATATAAACTAAAACAGGCATAAGCCACTGTGGCATAGTGGTTAAGAGCCTGGGACTGGGACTCAGGTGATCTGGGTTCTAGTTGCCGCTTGGCCATGGAGCCAACTGGGTGACATTGGGCCAGTCACAGACCCTCAGCCCAGCCTGAGGGTTGTTATTGTGGGGATAAGATTGAGAGCAGGGGAGGAGGATTATGTAAACCGCTTTGAGTTTATAGTAAGAAACAAGTGGCATATATAATCAAATAAATGAATAACTCTACTGAAACCAATGGTTTCAATTGCACCTAATTCCAAGTTGGAGTTTGCTCACTGTTTTTTGACTCCTAAAGTGGCAAGCTGTAGTCTTTGGTACTACGGGATCCAGACTGTAAATGCTGGAACACTGATCAAGACTGTTGTTCATATATGCATCCTATTAGTGCTGATATTCTATTGCCACCTATACTCTGTAAGTGGAATTACTATAATTGTCATTAACTTGTGGATTACTAGGGAGTTATTTGTGAATTAAACCACTAATGTCCAGTTTTGGATTTCCAAGCTTCAGAATTATTACATGACAGGTAGCTAGAAGTAGCATGAGTAGAAAGAAGAACTTTTCACATGTTTAATGATCTTGACACTTCTGGTTGACTTCTACTCATAAATCAACTCTGTATGCATTGCTTAGAACGCTATAGCTTGGCTACTGTAGCAGATGCCAGAAACTTCTGATTTAGTATCCCACTTTAAATATCTCAAAAAATAAAATCGAAAAAAATATTAAAATAAATGGCCACACTACCTGGTTCTAGTTAGAATTCTTACAGTCATGTTTTGTACTCTTGGAAGTCCTTAAACTATCTTCAAAGGCCTCCCAGATACAACACATTGTAATAGTCTAGGTCAGAGGCTTGAATCATTGCAGCTATGCTACCCAGCCAAGGTGGGACAGCTAAAGCTGGTAAAACGTACTCTGAATCACAGGGGCACTTGAACCTTTAATAACAGTGATGGATCAAGGATCATCAAGCAATGTATCTGATCTTTCAGGGAGAATGCAACTCCTTCTGGAACTGGCTAAGCCCTAGTCATCCAGTCTGAGAAACACCACCAGCAGTGCATCTCATCTTCTATGAATGGAATTTCAGTTTGTTAGCTCTCATCCAGTCCATTAAGGCCAAGCGCTGATCCCTCATTTCTATTGCCTCACCTAGCTCCAAAGAGGAGGAGGAACAAAGCACAGTGTTATTATCTGGATGCTAATAACAGTGCATTCCAATTCAGCAGTTTCATGTAGATGTCAAACAGGATACAGAAAAAGATAGAACCTTGCAAGATCCCAAAACAAAGAGGCTATTGCCTGGGTTATAGACAAGCTATGTTCCTGATAAAGCAGAAATTTGTCTTTAAGTTGAATTTGTATGTAAGTCAGATCACATATACTTGGCCCTCCACATTTGCAGGGGTAACGGATTCAGGATCTCTGTGAAAATGGAAAATATACTAATATCTCTAGACTCCCCGCCCCCAGCTCAAACTCACCAGTGCCTCCTCTTTACACCAAAGAAATGTCAGAGAGATTTCCTTCTCTAGAAAAGCATGCTTTGGAGGCCTCCCTCTCTCCTCTCATGCTTCCTCTCTCTATGGTAATGCTGATTCTTCACATTAAATTGTAAAAATTCATAGGCCACATAGAGGTTTGTTCATAAGTATGGGTGGCTTGTAACTTTGATGTTTGTAACGCCTGTACCATTTTCTGGAAACTTCTGTTCAAGTAACTATGGGACCAGTACAGTGTACCTGCCCACACACTTCTACAGACACTCCAGAGGTACACCGGTTAAGGGTATCAAAAATGACTAAAAAGTCAAGAATCATTAACAGGTCCACACTCTCCCTGAATGTCTTCTGACAGAGATCATCCCACAAGGTGACCAAAGCTATTTCAGTGCTGTAGCTAGGCATAACGCCAGTTGAAATGGGCTCAGAAAATTGGTTTCATTGAAGAGAGCCTGGATCTGGTCAGCTACCACATGCTTGAGCACCTTGCCCAAGAATTTGCTCTTGAATTATAGCTAAGTTGTTTGTGGGGGCAGTGATAGTCTATTCAAGTGGTGAGTAAGTGGTTGCACCACCACCCTTTAAGGTGACTGGGACTACTCCCTCTCTAAGAAAGGAATTACCTACCTCCTGGACCCTACCTCAGTTGTCCTCCCCTTGTCAGATATGAACAGCTATGAAGAACTCGAGTTAAGCAAATATGGTTGGGAGAAACCTTTCAAGTATCTTGTCAACATCCTTGGGACTCACAAATTAAAATTCATCCAACAATACAGACCCAGGCAGTACTCTGGACACTGTCATGGATTGATCTGTCCCAGCTGCATAGCCAAAGTTTGATATATACAAGCAAATTTACTCTCAAAAAGTCTAGCAACTTTGTCACAGCATGCCACTACATACCCATCTAGGCCAGATGTCAAAAGGCTACAAACCACTCAGCAAAGCTCCAGAGACAGTAGTGGAGTAGTGGAGAAAAATAGTTTCTTTACAGCCCTCTCTGCTATAAAGTAGGCTGGAAAAGCTTTTACATGTTTGCATTTTCTCCAAGTTTTCACCTGTTTGCAGTGTATACATCTCACAGCTTGCTTTACTGCCCTTAGGTTCAGGTGGACACCAAAGAACCAGTGGGCTCCATGAAGCAAGAATGGTTGCTCTGTAGAAATCACCCTAACTTATTTAGCCTTCTTTAGATTCTACAGATTAACCAGAGTGAGGCCAGTGGGTTCAACGTGAAATATTGGAGTAGTTTCTCCATTTCTGACTTTCCTATTTAAGTCACAGGTTATGCTCACAGAAAACTCCAATTGTTACATGTTGGCATTCCTCCAATTGCTACATATCCAAGGATAACAAGCTTGCTAATTTGTTTAGACAGTTATTTCTGGCAATATGAAAGAGGCAAAGGAGAAAAGAATCCTAATTTAGCACAATTTCTGTTCTTCCTTTAATTTGGTCCAATCTCTGGTGTTTTTATTTTAAACCAGTGGCAAGAATGAAAGAGTTCTCTCCAAAACAAGGAAATATGCAAACAAGAAAGGACCTCAAGGCATGTTAAGGCTTACACAGATATCAAGTGAGTTTAATCAACAGAGCCCACTTCCATCGTGTTTGTACATGATAACAAACCTATTATTTTCATTGTTGATGTAACAGGCTTATAATGGCAACTATTATTAGTATCTATTCTTACTATAACTATCAAGGCAGTCACTTGTAAAACAGTAGTTAAAGGATCAGAAAAAAATTCTGTAAATGCCATAGCTTAGGGCACAATTAAGATGGCACTCAGCTCACTCTCATTACCTAGTCCTACTTTTCCCAGAGTTACCACTGCAAGGAGAAAATAAGGTACAGTAGGAGAGAGGACTATGCCGCAGACACCTGAGATGGCATTCCAGTTCAAATCAATCCCAAGCTTAAATGAATCAATTCGGGGCAAACAAACTGAGCCCAAATTAGCTTATTTTGGGCTGGGATCCATCCAAGTCAGGCTCAGAGAAGCTCAGCCCTGCACTGCTACCAAATTAAGCTAATGAAAACTTACCTGGGAAGTCAGGGCATTACTGGCTGCATTTTTGAGGTCTGCATGTTTTGCAGAAATTGCAGATAACTGATTTTTCAGCCAATCCATCTCTTCTGAGAGTGAATTAAGTTGCTGATCTTTTTTTGCCACTTCCTTTGTTTTCTCTTCCAGTTGATCAAGTAGAGTAGCAGCATCACCATGTTTGTTTCTATTCTGCAGTTTGTCTTTCAGGACCTGGATTTCTTGATCTTTTTCTCCAAGGATATTATTATATTTTTCATTTTCAGTTTCAAGTGTGAGTATTTTCTATAAATATTAGTAGAAATTAGGATAGTAAGTTTAAGTTTGCTACCTTGAAACATCTAGCAGAGTGAAAGAAAAGAAAGAGTGAAAGAAAGCATTTACTGTGAAAGTGGCTCTGTTATATCCATTCCAATATTTAATGCTCACACAATTATATATTAGCAAAAACCTACCTACTATAACATACAATTGAAACAATTTGAAGCTTTATCATTCATGACAGCATAAAAAACCCCTCTTCCCAGTTGAGTAAAAGAAAAGTGACTGAACATTGAAGAAAGATGCAATATGCTCACAGGTATTTGGTAATAAAGGACAAAGCATTCTCAATAGATAAGAGGGAAAACCAAATATATGCATTATTATTTTATTATGTATTACAAAACTACACCATATCATGCAGAGAAAGAAAAAAAGACAAACTAAAATGTTACAATTTTGGGAGCAGGTTTAAAATATTTGTAACACTGACTGCATATATGTTGCATATTTCTATATATGGAAAGATATCAAAACATATTTCTCTTAAAATAATTATGCATAAATTGCAACAAAGGCAGTCCAAATATCCAAATATTTATAAATGGATAAATTAAGCCTAAATATCACCCTATCAAAAATATTTAGTTTCATTAAGTCCTCTATCCAATGTTATTTTAGGTGGCTATTTATCTTTCAGTGTTGCTAGTCTTTCAGCTATTAAAGAAGTATGGAAAATGCAGTTATGTTTACTTTCTGTTAAATCCCAAGAGATGGACACATAATTAAACGTAACACATATCATTACATATTAAAGAATTTTCCATCAAAGGGCGTATTTGAAATATTACCTCCTCCCAAAGTAAGCTGCCACTAGGCATTGACAAAACATACAGAGAAGAGAAGCATAAACAGCAATATTTTTCCAGTTTTTGCCCCATTTAATTAAGCCCTAATCAAAGAAATGTTGTAGCATCCAGTACACTCAAAATGTGATTGTTTGCTGAATTAAATGTAGCCTAAGATCTGTTATTCCCTTCCAAATAGATAATAATGAAGCACTTAGAAATGTGTGCAGACATGTTTGTGTGCGGACAGGGAAAATACTAACTCACTTAATGGAATTTAAAAGGCTACACCTCTGATCCAGAGTTGTCTGTGCACAACATTGTTTGGAAAGTTGGTGCATAAGTAAATCAACCAAAGGAGTAGTTCCATGCTTGTGTGCTTTATGAGCCAAGCAGCAGCTTTATTATTTTGTAAATCAGAACCTTCCCTTTGTACTGGAATGGGAAGTATTTGTGAGAGAATACTCTTTAAGGTGCAATCCGATGCAAGTTTACATAGGAAAAAATCCTAGAACTCCATCAAATGACTCCCAGCTTAGCTGAGTGAGGAAATTCTGTGAGTTGTACTTTTTTTGTTGCAATATATACCAGTCCTCTTAAAGGCCCAACATTAACATTCAGATCTTATGAGATGCAAAACAAAACAAAACAAAACAGCACTCCACTTGTCAAACATTTAAGTGATCTGTGGATAGCATGGATCAAAAAAAGGCTCAAGAAAGGAAGGTTTAAATACAGAAACATTGATATCACCTCCAGAAGTTTCTTCCTTTCTTCAGGTGTCATTTTGCTTTTGCCCTTAATTATATCTTCCAAGGATTTTTTCAGGGCTGCATTCTCTTTCTTGTACACCTGCAATTCTGATTCAGATTTGGAATCACCAGACTTTAATCCCCACCTGCTGATATTCATCGCCTTGCTGGCCTTTGATGTCATATGTCAGGTTCTCTAGAAAAACATTAAGTATTGTTGAAGAAGCAGCCTGTTCAGATGTGCAATTAAGCAAAGTTTTCCTGCAACGTGAAGCTTACAAGTCTTTACAGCCTAATTCTATGCATGTTTACTCATAAATACACTTCCACTAAATCTGACTGAACTCTGACCAACTAAGCATATTTTCTCAAAAGTAAATATCCATTCATTGAAACTAACTTCCTACCATGTTATGGTTACACTGACCAGGTTCACACAACAAAGCATCCATTGTGAGTAACTAGCCATGGGTGTTTCCCATGTCATCTGAACTTCCTGTGAGGTGTCTTGTTTTTAGGCTACCCATGGTTTAGTCTGGGGACTCTTCAACCTAGGATGGGCAGCAGTGTCAACAAAACCTGGAAGAGCAATTTCATTCTGGGTTCTGGAGCTAGCAAGATACTCAGGAAGAGCAGCACAAACCCTCAGTTCTGCAGCTCTGATAAACCAACCTAACAACAAAACAAGTTGTGAACAGAGCATGGTGGGGGAGACAAGATGGGTTGTGTCACAAGGGACACTGGGATATGAAAAAGAGGGTTGAGAAGGAACGAAAGAAAGAATAAGCCTGACAATCTGTTGGATATCTCATAGGTTGCTCACCCTGCCTAGCTTATTCACCTAGAGGGCTACTGTGTTATATGAAGTCACCCAGTCTTAGTACCAAATAAACACAGAGAGGATTGTAGCCCCACTTCAATTCACAAATATAATATAGAATAGCAAATAACATCCAAACCCAACATGTTTTTTCTGAATTAGGCATAAGTATTTATTTATTTATTAAAACATTTTTATGCCGCCCCATTCGCCGAAGCCTCGGGGTGGCTTACAACAATAAGTTAAAAATAAATAACATTAAATTAAAAATATAAACATTAAAATTAAAAATTATTTATTTATTAAAACAATAAGTAACAGTAGCAATGTTAAAATGAAAGTAACTTCTCCAAGCTAGGAAGTGGGACTCAGAACCAAAAGCACAAGTGTGAAAAAAAAACTCTGAACTGTTTAAGGTCCATTTTGCAGTGAAATGAAATATTCAAATCTGCCAATTACCACATCATCACAGGAAGCTAAGGGTAATGCCAGACAATTCGTAAGATCCGTTAACCAGTACTAGCGAGCTTAAAGGCTCCCCAAGATCTACTGATAACAGTATTAAGACGGAAGGAAGCCTAGAGGTTTGCAACAGGATCCCGAACTAGAAAATGAAACTATAGGTAGAACAGAGAAGATGACCTACCCGAGAAAGATGGTTTGTAATTTATTTACGTGATTTGCATATCGGTAACACGATTCCGTAGTGAACAATAAAAACAGAAAATTAAAATATTTAAAATAAGATGTTATCTAAGGGCAAAACTATACATTACAAACAAGATCTACGAGTCCTCTGAATGCTTAATCAAAGCACAAAAAGAATTGTTTAAAAGAAGCCACGAAAATTTCGAGGAAGCAATAGGGAGCAATTATTTCCACACGAATGCATTGTCTTTTATCCCCTACCTCGTCACTGGTTAGGCACGAGGGGGAAAAGACATGGACAGGAATCCTATAACGCGTACTCGAAGGGCTTCAAAGAGCTTCTGGGGTCCTGAACACGCGAGGAAACGCCTCTTCGCTGCCTGCCCCCACCCGAGGCACCATACACACCGGATGATGCTTAGCCGAGCTGCCGAAGTCGTAACGCCAGGTGGCTTCGCCGGCCGGCGAGGGGAGCTTTAAGATGACAGGTCGGAGGGGCGACGGCGACGGCCGCGGAGGTAATTATACCACTTCCGCCACCCCCACATCCCACTGCGAAGCCAGAAGCGCGAATAGGGCGCAACGATCTACCGTACCTTTTCGAACTCAGCACCACTCAAACGCTGCTTCCGGGAGTTTGAATGCCGCGGCTTCAGCGATGTCATTTCCTCCTCGTCGCCGCGCTATGGAGGCTGTGAAGGGTAAAGACTAAGAAGGCGAAGCGAATGACTCGGAGGATGGATGACTGGGAGCGGGAGGGCGAGAAAAACGGAGAACGAATGATGCTGGTTATGCATGGGGACTCCCTATGCATTCAGTGGTCATAGAATCACGGCATAGTGGAGTTGGAAGAGGTCAGAGGAACATTGGGTCCAACCCCCTGTTTAAGTCAAACCATCCCTCTCAGATGGCTGTCCAGTCGCATCTAGCGTGGCAGACCCCACAACCTTCCCAGGTAATTGGTTCCACTGCCAGGGCATTATTTTTGATATCTAGGCGGTATCTGGCTTGCTGTAACATGAGCCTATTATTCCATTTCCTGCACTCGGGGATGATCAAGAAGAGATCCTGCCCTTTCTCTTTGTGGCAGCCTTTCAGGTCCTTGTAGAGTTCTATCATATCTCCCCTCAGTCTTCTCTTCTCAAGGATAGACATGCCCGATTCTTTCCATCTCTCCTCATAGGGCTTTGTTTCCAGTCCCTGGGTCATCCTTGTTATCTCCTCTGAATCCTTTCCAGCATTTCTCCATCTTTCTTAAACTGTGATGCTCAGAACTGGACACAGTACTCCAGATGAAGCCTAATTAGTGCTGAGTAAAGGAAAACTAGTATTTCACAGGATTTGGAAGTGATACTTATATCAATGCATCCTAAAATAGCATTTGCCTTTTTTCAGCCACATCATCTTGTTGACTCACATTCAGCTTGTGACCTATAATTCCAAGATCCTTCTCATTTGCAGTATTGTTGAGCCAAGTATTCCCCGTCTAAGAAATATAGAAACAGAGACACAGAGTGAGTCGGAAGGGACATCCTGGGCCATCTAACCTGACCCCTGGCTCCAAGCAGCTTCGCTCATGACATGCCTACCATGTGCATGCCTAGCCTGTCCTTAAACACCCTCACTGATGGGGCTTCAACCACCTCCCATGGAAGCCTATTCCATATTCTTGTAATGATACATTTGATTTCTTTTTCCTAAGTGCAGAACTTGGCATACTAAATTTCATTCTGTTGTTTTCAGCCCAGCACTTCAACCTATACAGACCACCTTGAATCTTCTTTGTTGTCTTCCAGGGTTTTAGCTATCCTACCCAGGTTTGTGTCATCTGCAAATTTGATAATCATTACCTGCACTTCCTCATCCAAATCATTAATAAAGATGTTGAAGAGTCCTGGGCCCAGGACTGAACACTTTAGCACCCCACTTGTTACCTCTCCCCACTTTGAGAAGCTACCATTGATGACCACTCTTTGTGCCCCATTCTGTAGCCAACTGTGGATACATCTGATAGTCATTCCATCTAGCCCACTTTTTGCTAATTTACTAATCAGGGTATCATGGGGCACTTTGTCAAAAGCTATAATATATATTATGTCCACAGCATTCCCATAGTCCATCAGGGAGCTTACCCAATCAAAAAACGAATTCAGATTAGTCTGGCAGGATTTGTTCTTGAGAAATCCATGTTGGCTTCTACTAATCACTGCATTGCTTTCAAGGTGTTTGCTTTATAATCTGCTCCAGAATTTTCCCAGGGGTTGATGTCAGACTGACTGGTCTGTAGTTCCCAGGTTCTTCTTTTTATTTCCATTCTTGAAGATGGGGACAGCATTAACCCTTCTCCAGTCATTAGGCATTTCTCCTGTCCTCCATGATTTCTCAAAGATACTAGACAGTGGTTCTGCGAGTTCTTCCAACAGCTCCTTTATGAGTCTAGAATGAAGTGCATTGGACCCTGGAAGTTTGAACTCATTCAGTCCAATTAGATTATCCTTTACCATTTGCCTATCAATATTGAGTTGCCATCCTGCTCTTTCAGCTTGTACTTCCCCTTCATCAGGAAGGTCACAAATCTTTTTTTGGGCTGTATCAAAATAGGAATCGAGAACTTCTGCCTTTTTATTGTCATCTGTTATCATTCTGCCATCCATACTGAGAAGTCAAGCCTCCATTTCTTTCCTCTGTCTTTTACTTTGAACATATCTAAAAAAGGCTTTCGTTGCTGTTGCTGTTGTTGCTTTAGCATTCCTTGCTGGTGTTCATTCATTCCAAGCTTTAGCCTTCCTGACAGCATCCCTGCAGTTGTGTACTACCTGCCTGTATTCTTCCTTTGTAGTCTGGCCTTCCTTCCTCTTCCTATACATATCTTTTTTTGTTTTCAGGCCATCTCTAAGCTTTTCTGAAGTCTCTTGAACTTCTTCTGTTGTCTTCTACCCTTTTTCCTTCTTGGAATTGTTTGTGATTGTGCCTTTTGAATTTCCTTTAAAAAAAATCCCACCCTTTTTTGACTCCCTTTCTCATTAGAGTTAATTGCCATGGGACTTCAGCTTTCTTCATGCTGTGGCCAAACACTTGCTTTCCAGTTCTTGTAAGGTGCAACTGATCCTTTGCCAGCAGTCCGTCTTCCAGAAAGTGTATTCCATGGTTCCAGATTCCAGATCTCTCATGTTGGCACCGCCTTCATAGCCAGGCATTCACTTGGAGTATTTTTCTTTCCCAGTCTATGTCTTTCCATGAACTGGATGAATCAAAGAGAAAACTATCTGGACCCCGTCTTCCACAGAAGCCTTGTGCTCCATCAGGAAATGGAACTAGAAGCTCAACAAATGCTCAGCCAGCATTTCCTCTATGCACTGATCCATTGAGACTAATTTGCCATGGATTCAACTGTTTGGAATGTAATAAGCAGGCACTGTGCTATTTTGCCCTAGAAGCCCATTATTGGAGAGCTTTGGAAGATAATGATGGACTGGTAAGTCCCTTTTAAAGATCCACATTATTTTCTACTGGGTTTACATTAAAATTAAAGACAGACAAACAATGATGTTCAAACATAGAAACAGAGTGAGTCAGAAGGGGTCTCCCGGGCCATCTAGTCTGACCCCTGACTCCAGCTGGCTCCACTCACGACATGCCCAACATGTGCATGTCCAGCCTAACTTGACCAGTTTTGCTGTATTTTGTGGTTGTTCTTGCTCTATCCTATTTACTGACTTACTCCACTGTTATTAAATAAAGTTTTGCCCCTTTGTGCATTCCTGCAGTGAGTTTTTTGTTTTGGTTTTTATTTTTGCTTACATATATTAGGCCAGGCATAATTACAACATTTTTTTCAGCACTGTATACCTACTCACATACGTACAGATTCTCTCTCTCATAGTTATACTTACTTTCTTGTTACTGTATTATTATTATTATTACAATGCTTCATTGTGTTTAAGATGTTTTAGTGAATATGGAAGTGTTTCTTAAATGTTTTACTTACATGGAAGGGTAAAATATATACATATACTAAGACAAACATTTGGTTTATTCATGTGATCTGACTTACATACAAATTCAACTTAAGGAGATTCTCAGGAATGGAACTTACCTGTAATCAGGGGACTACCTGTATATCACTAATCTATTCTCCAGGGAGACAGCACAGCTAAAAAGTCCGCAGGTCTTCCTGCCAGACATGTGTTTCCATCTCATGCAACAGCGACTTTCTCACAACTAATACTTTTTTCTCCTTGTTCTTGCAAGTCTTTGTATCATTAACCAAGCACGAGCAATTATAATTAACAGAACAGAAAGCGTCAAATGAGAGATGAACAACAAAGTAGATTAACCACTGAGGGTAAAATCCTCTGCATATTTAAGCAGAAAAGTCCTACAACTCCCAAGATTTTCCAGCCAGCTCAGCTGAGAATTGTGGCTTGGAGTTGTAGGATCCCCCACCCCTGACTACAGATGCATAGGATTGCACTTTAAAGGGTATTTTCTCACAAAGTCTTCCTGCTTCATTTCCATATAAAAGGAAGCTCTTGATTCCAAAAACACAGAATTGCTGCTCGATTCATGAAGCTGCTCCCTGCCTTGACTTCCTCCTGCAGCAACCTTCTGAACAACTGTGCAGGCTGGACACTAGTTCAGAAGTGTCGCTGTTCAGATGGCACTGTGCAGGTTTGTGCTTTCCCTGTCTGGACAAGAACACAGACATGTCTTTTTGGGTATTGCCATACATTTGCTATCGAAATATGCATAGGAGTGCACTCCAAGTCCCTCAGGCTGCCACCTCTGAGTGGTGTGTCAACATCACTTCCATGTTTGGTGGCGGTCTCAATGGGGGCTCATCTCAGATTGAGCTTACCTTGTTATCCATTCTTGTATCCTTGTTCTTTGATACCCATTTACTTATATTTCCCTCTAAGGCAAAATCTGCTCCTACTTGCACAGGGAGAAGACAAGGCATGTGGCAGTTCTTACTTCTTTTGCTACTTGGTTGCTTCAGAGGACAGGTTAACATACAGCAGCAGGAATGAATTGCGCATTCAGGAAAGTGATTGGAACTAGTGGATATCCTACTGGGACCTGTGCCCCAAAAGGGGTCCTACACTATCAGCCTCTGTGCCAGCTTTGATCCCAGACAATTGCCACAATCCATCCGTAATAATTCATCATCCAGGATGATACCCAGCTGAACTGAAGCCTCTCTGGGTAAAAGTGATATGTGTTGCCCAGTATGAACAACATTCTGAAACATTTTGTTAAGCATGTACAGCCCACATCTGAGAGGTGAGATTTCAAGGACTCCAGCCTTATTCATTGTTCAGCTTCCTGAGGAGGTCACTGGAGACTTAAATCTGTGACACTTATATTCTGTGATAAAGGATTTATTTCTGCATATATATATACAAGATGTAGATAAGATCTTTGAAGCATGAACAGTTCAATAAATTCCTGTCCATTATCAGCTTTCTAGAAGAATCTATAATGTCCTGTATTTCCTGCAGAAAGCAATTACCTATCTCCTATTCAGTTGTAGCTCCAGCACAAATACAATCCATGCTACATTCAGAGGCCTTGGTCCCTCCTTGCCTGGGGGCGGAGGGGGGAGCCTGTAAATGAATCTTCTCTGCTTCTCACCTGTGTCTTCATGCACCATTGAACCATATCACCAGAATGTGCCAGCTATTAACTACCTCTTGTTAGTTCTTAAGAATCCTCAAGAGAGGAGATGCTAAGGAATGCAGGGACCATAAGACTGTTGCACTAATTTCCCATGCAAACACAGGGATGCTCAAGGCATTGGAACAAAGTAAAAGAATTTTATATGGAGTGAGAAATGTCTGATGTTCAAAGTGGATTCCATAAAGGAAGAGGTACTCAAGATCATATTGCAATTATACATAGCCTATTGCAGCACAGCAAAGAATTTCAGAACAAGCCCTATCTGTGCTTTATAAACTACGGCACAGTTTTTGACTGCATGAATCATGAAAATCTATGGATGGTTCTGAAAGAAATGGGTGCACATATTATGGACAGGAAGCTACTGTCAGGACAGAATATGGAGAAATAGAATGGTTTCCTAAAGGCAAAGGTACAAGACAAGAATATATCTGTTCAGTCTGTATGCAGAACAGATCATAAAAAAATCTGGATTATGATTGGAGGAGAGAGGAGTGAAAATTGGTAGAAGATAATTTAAGTTATGCAAATTATACCACATTACATGCAGAAAGCAGCAGCAAAATGAATTGACTCCTGATGAAAGTAAAAGAAGGTGGAAAAGCAGGACTTACCACAATAAAGAAATGGAACTTATGAAAGGTTTTATGTACCTTTCACATTGAGATTGCAGCCAAGAAATTAGAAGAAGACTGAGACTAGGAAGGGCAGCAATGAAGGAACTGGAAAAGATCTTCATGTGTAAAGATGTTTAACTCACAACCAAGGCCAAGATTATCCACAGTATGGTATCCACAGTCATTATGTATGGATGTGACCACTGGACAATGAAAAAGGCTGCCGGAAAGAAATTTGATACATTCAAAATATGGTGTTGGAGGAGAGCTTTGTGAGTACCCTGGACTGACAGAAAGATAAACAAGAGGATCCCAGAGTAGCCCTTCCCCAACCTGGTGGGTGGCCTTTAGAGGCATTTGGATGGCAACTCCCAAAATTCCCATCCAACAGGGAAAGGACATTGACTGGGAAATCTGGGTGTTCCAGTCCAAACATGTCTGGAAGGCAAAAGGCTGGGGAAGGCTGTCCTAGAGTAAACCTTATCTGGGACAGAACTTTCTCTGGAAGCAAAAATGATGAAATTGAAAGCTATCCTACTATTGACAATCACAAGAAGGCAAAACTCATTGGAGAAGACAATAATGCAAGGGAACATCAGAGACAGAAAAAGAAGAGGAGAAACAGCTCTGGAATGGATCAGTTCCATAAAAGAAGCCACAGCCTTGAGTTTACAAGGGCTGAGCAGGGCTGTCATGATCAGGACACTTTGGTGGACATTACAGGGTTGCCATAAGATGAAGGCAACTTGAAGATTCATAAGAAGAATAGGAGGTATTGTCTCTGGCATCCAAATGCTAGCTCTCCTTACAGAATTCATAAGAGTCAAGAATTAATGAGTAGGAAGGGATCCTGAATCTCTTTGCATTTACAGGTACTTGGTTGTTAGAGCCATTCAGACCAACCCCAACAACACTCTTTTGAGCTTTCGGGAACCTCGCCAGTATGACACCACTTGTGCTGTACTTGCCTCACACTGTATGCTACACAGAAAGCCATTTATTTCACTCACCTGCTCTATGGCTCTTCGATGCACAGTGTATAACTGTCAGGTGAAATGGAAGGGTTTCCTCCCTCACATGCTATTACTATCAATGCCAGCTGTAGAAAGTATAAGTTTTCAGGTACAGTCCTATGCATGTTTAGCCAGGAAAACGTCCTATAACTCTCAGTATGGCCCAACTAGCCACTAAGGATTGTACCCTTGCTCATTTATTTGGAAGGTTATTTTTGATTTCTACGGAAGGGGGCACTCTAACCCCGTTTCTGATGAGAATAATAACAACTGATGACACGTGGAAAGAACAAAAAAGAATGTTATCGTATTTCACTATAGATGTGCTGATTTAATTATATTTAAGTAACGGTAACATGGCTAATGGTCAGTATTATATGCAGACTCATTTCTTTCCTGTAATCCATAAGCAGAGGAATTTTCTCCTTTAAACTACTTGCCTTACTTAACAAGTTTATACTAGCTTTTTCTAAAGTCACAGGAACTGTCAGTGTCAGTTTACAGAAAACCTTTTTGTTCTTTCCCCTCCCCTCCCCTCCCCTCTTTTTCCTTTCATTTCTAAGATTTTTTTTTTTTTTTTTTTGCACCATTGGTAAGCAACTCATCTTAGATCCACCCATCAGTTGCGTTTCACTGTATCGGAGCCATTCCCAGCAGTTGCCTCCTCCTCCTGGCATTTCAGCCTGGAGGCTCCAGAGCTACAGTACTTAAGTGCACAGTTTCTTAAGTTGCTTCTTGGAAGGCTCAGTTTAAGTGCTGCAAACAATGCTTCGAGTAATTGTGGAATCTGCTGCAAATATACCTAAACATAAGTTTGGGAAACCAGATCCTATTGTGTCAATTATTTTTAAAGGTAAGAAAATTAACTTATGAAATTCACATTTAGAGATGATTTTTAAAATCTGTCTTGGTGGCATGATTTTTAAAAAATGCAACAGTTGTGATCTAACTGCATTTGTAAAACATCTTGTGAAGAAACAAATCAAAACCTTTATACAACATGGCTTTTTCAAAATGCTGAAAGGTGGTGTGGTTTTCTGGACCTGTTTCAAAGCTCCTGTGTGGGATTGTCTTATCTGCACCTGAACATAAACATCTTACCTTTAGTTTTGATAAGTGTACAAGTGAGCTACACCTTTGCCTATAAATTATTTTGCTAGGAATGTAAGTTTGATTGCTAATTTTTTGTTTTCTCTCGAACTTTTTGTAAGTAGGAATTCATCTAATAGTTTGTGTTAATGTTTTTGTAGTTTAACACATTCCAAACACTGATTTGCAACATTACTACAGCTTCCTTTTTCTTTGGAGATTTCTTTGCTTATATGCTTAGCAACTGAAAACCAAAATTTGGAAGACGGAATAAATGTAGTATACTTGCATTTATCCATACATGTCTACCTTACATCACTGCAAAATTGACACTAAAGTAGATTTCAATTTGTGTTGCTCTCTTTTGTCCCAGATAATTGGTAATTATTGTTATATTTCAGATTGGAATTGTCAAATGCCCTATAGCTTATGAGCACATCAAACTGGAACATAACTTGAAATGTAGATATATTATTCTTGACAGTGGATGCATGTGCTGAACTGGAGAACAAAGCATAAAGTTTTTTGGTGGACAAATAGCTACAAGCTCCTAAGTTTACAATAGTTGCTACAGTGTATGAGAAAGTTGGTGTGTAGGTTGATACTTGAAAACTTATTACTAGAATGTTTAAACTGGCCTTGTTCTTCACTCTTGGTTTTTGCTTTCTTCTGTTTTTAAGTTTCTATCTACTTGCCTTGGTTTTGGAACATTTGGTGTGGTCCATCCATTCAGTATTTCCACAAGGGTTTTTTTAATGGTGCCTTATGGCAAAGGAATTTCTGGATGAATGACCACTAAGCTAAACAGATTTTTTTCCTTGGATGACTTAGAAGCTAAACCAGACGTTTCTAGACTTCTTGTTTTTCAAAATCTGGGACATGGCTTTGCAGAGAGGTGCAAGCTGATATGATATTTGCTAATAATGTATGAATCATTTGTTATTCACAGAATCCTTCTTTTCAAGTTGTACTGACTTGTTGAAACCTTGTCTAATCTTTGTATTATATACTCTGTTTGTGGATGGCTTTACAGGAACACTAGGAACCAAACTATATGATAAAAATATGGTATTTGTGTTTTTCTACCAATGCAAACATGCAGCTTGTGGAGAGTGGGGGAGGGACTTAGAAAATAGTACAGGCAAAGGATTAAATAGCTTTCCACCCCTGAGATGATATTTCAGTCTGTCTGTCTGTGCTGCCATGTATGCTTTTAAGTGAAAATATATCCATTTAGAGATCCAGTCATGAATCTCCTACATAATATGGAGTTTGGCCTTTAAAAGTGGCCCTGTTCAGTATAGCTTAGGCCTTTAACTTCTGTTCTTACAAACCATGGGGTTGTTGGAAGATTAACAGGGCTTCCATAGTGTTAAAACTGGTACATCCTTAAAGGAAGATTCCCTTTCATTATTTTCATTTGTATGGATTCTTTGAAAGAATGATGGCTTTTGGAGTGGGAAAAGCAGTAATGGCTGGCATACTATGTTGAAAGACAATTTGTAATTAATTTTCCTTGCCAAACACCATGCCAAGGAGTGCTTTGTGCATACTGATGTTAAGCCCTTTTTTGGCTCTTGCAAATATGTCTGACAGCTGGCCAATAAGTGTTGTTGTATACTGCTCTCACCCTGAGGATAACATCCTGAATACTAGATTTTTCCTCCACAGCATGGCACACAGCAAAGAGGAATCAATCAGAAATGCTCTTTTCCCCCTTCAGAGGAGAAAAACAGTAAAAAGCAATACTGTGTCATTTAGAATGAATATGAATGATGAGCTTAAGGAAGGAAAACAACCGAAACAGGGCTATGTAATTGCAACAAGGACAGAGGAGGAACAGAATCTCAACTAAGTGCCAGTCAGGCTCAAATATATTTAAGCTTAAGAAACCGGCCGATGGCAATCAGGCATATGGTTCTCACTGAAGCTCTATCTATAATCTGTGTATTGTATGGCTATATATCATAAATATACTTAGATTAGGAAAATGTCTTGTCTGGAGTGTTATTTCTATGGAATTCTATATTTTTGGCTTGAGGGGCATTCAGTGATAAATCTTCATACTTAGGGGCTGTGCAATTTACCCTGTCCCAAACACGGAATCTTACAGGTGTGGGAGGGTGGCAGACATTCATCTGCCATTTGTAGCCTTCCTGTGTTTTTCCACTGTTAATGCATTTTTTCCTTCACAAAAGCATCTTTAAGGAGGGAAGATGAAAGAATCACACAAAGCTTTTGGACTGATAATGTTAGGAGACATCCATTTGGAAGCACGCATAATGGATAGTAAGAAACACTGCTCCAGTTTATATAAAAGCATAGGGATTACTTTATATTGTTAATGGGATACTGAATGTTTTGAAATATGTAGATTTCTATTTTTGTTTGTACAGTATAAAGTTCTGCAGCTGCAAATGGGATACTGAATCCACTCCTGGATATGTGTTAAAAATTACAGAGTTTAATGCTTTCAGGCCTTCTAAGCTATGAACTTTCACATGCAAATTTGAATCAGATTATTGGAGCAGACATTTGGAAGAAAGTTCAAAGTTTATACCACACCCCAAACATGTTAATTGAATGGCTTCACTGACACAGACTTTCCAAAGAGGGAAGAAGGAAAGTACTCCAAAGCTGCAATAATTCTAGGGTTTCAGAGGGACTGGGATGTGGGTGGTATTTACAGAGTCAGAGCCAAAAGATGTGTGTGAGTAGAAGTCAGCTCAGTACAAGTGAAATGTAGCTTAGCACAGAAGTTTAAAAACTGGGAGAAAATCCTCCAAGAAACAACCACCATTTGGATTTCACTGAAATGTTTAGAAGCATCATCATGATGATGGCATCATCATCATCCTCTCTATTTCTGAAGCTCAGAGTTGTGTGGTTCCTCCAGAAACAGCACCATCCATCTGTAAGAAGTGGCCTTGGTAAGCTTGGGAAACACCAAGGTTTGCAGAAGTACCAAAATCTTTCTTTTAAAAAAAGTGAAGTGGTGTTTGGGTAGAGCAAAACACTGCAATGAAGACTGAACATATTCAGTAACCACACAGGAAACTGCCTTTTCCTGTACCACACCATTGTTCCATCAAACCTGGTACTGCTGACACAGCTAGCAGTAGCTTTCCATGGTTTCAGGCAGGAGTTTTCAGGCATAAGTAACTAGGACAGTCAATAGGTGCAAAGGTTTGTTTCAGATCCCAGTTATACTTTTGATTACTAGATGTTAGCATTGACAACAAAACCTTGATGGTTCTCATAGTCTTCTTGTACATATGAACTCACATTGTACATCTGGTAAGGATCTTGTGGCTCTTAGAGAGTAAGTTCTCCTTGAGCTCTTCCCCTCATGGCATGTTAGTACAAGGAGAAGCATCTTGTAGCTGCTGTGTGAAGGTATCAGTATTTACATATATGATGGAAGGCTAGAGATAGAAGTAAAATGTATATCAAAGGCAGCAGAAAAGTTTACTACTAGCAGCTTCCTTCAGCATAGGAAGGAGCAAATCCTCCTTTGATCCCCCTTCTCTCCAACATATCCTTACCTGAAAAAGAGGCAGTGATACAGTACCCCTGAGTAACTAGAAGAATCACATGAGTAAAGTAGAGTTTCCTAATGTATATTGGGATGAAATCTGTACAAAGTGTTGGTGTTTGTTCTTGACCAATGAATATACTGAAAGATTATTATGTATTATTTGTCTAAAATGGAAGATTGGCAACAATAGAAATATAATGAAGTTCTTGATGTTTTATGACAATTCCGGAGACTATTTTTTAATGTTTTTATTTGTTAAGCATGTTCGGCAATGGCTTCCAGAATAAAAACACACAAATAAAAATAAAAGCTTAGATTAGATCCAATGGCATTTCTGCTAACAGAATGAAAACCTCTGGTAGAATAGATTGCCCCTCATGCACCCTTCACATACCGTATAGGATATACCGTATTTTTCGCTCTATAAGACGCACTTTTTTCCCCCTGAAAAGTAAGGGGAAATGTCTGTGCGTCTTATAGAGCGAATGTGTGTGTGCCCGACGCCCGGGATGCTGCCGACCCACCTGCACCACGTGGCACCACCTGGCCAGCATGCGCTCGGCACGTGCTGCTCCCCCCCCCCCCCCCCCGGCAGAGGTGAGAGCTGTGCCGCTCAGGGGGAGCGGTGCAGAGGAGGAGGAGCTGCGGAGTTTAACCCGCTGGCCGCACGGAGAGACAGACTGCTCACCCCCACTGCCAGGGAAGACCTGCCGCCTCTGCGCCGCCCGGAAGACCACTGTCGGCACGCTGCCGGCCTGGCTGCACCACACCTGGCCGGCACGTGCTCGGCACGCCCTGCTCCGCCCCCCTCCTCCGGCTCAGGTGAGAGCTGTTAATCACAGGTCGGTGTGTGTTTTCAAATGGCAGCCCGTCTTTTAATGAAGCCCATGGGGAAGTGATGGGGAATGTGCCTGTGATTATCAGGAAGCTTTCCATGGATCCCTCCTCTAAAAACTAGGTGCGTCTTATGGTCAGGTGTGTCTTATAGAGCGAAAAATACGGTAAGCCTAGCTATGCAATCCAACACAGAAATAAGTCTTACTGAATTCAGTGCAACGTAACGTCAGATAATTGTGTATAGAATTGCTGTCTATAACTAGCAGAACTAGCTCAATAAGCCAAACGCCTTTGAGAAGTGAGAACAATAATAATTGTAGCAGCTTTTTATCAGAGAGTATTTTAGAACAATATTGGGCACCACTGGTTTGTACAAATACATGATAATATTCAATATTCAATGTATTCTATGTGATTAAGAAAGTGAAAGCACACACAGAATTAAAATATAATTCATTGATTTAAGCTGATTGTATTATAGCTCTTATTTTCCTGTGAAAGTTACAGTTTTGTGATTTTTTGTAGTCTGCTCTGAGTCAGTATACTGCATAGATTTATTTTTATGTTTATTGTTTCTGTTACAGCAGTGTGAGTCAGTCCCTCAATTCCTGTTAGCACCTCCCCCATGAATCCAGCAGAAATGGCTCTCCAGTTACATCAAAGCTGTGCAGACTGACTCACACATGGATCAAAAAGAGAAGGGATGAGAGAGATTTATTTCCATCCTCTATAAAATCTGTCATGATCCATCATTAAGGGTTTTGAGAGATTCAGTGCAATGTAAAACTTAACATTTTGTTTTCTGCTGGATGGTGTATATGTTAAGGATGTGCATTAGATTTAAGATTTAAGAAGTGTATTTTCTATTTTCACAAATAAGAGGCACATAAAAGTCAAAAGTATATTACCTGGGATCAAACAAGGCCCTTAAACTGATCAGAAATCAGAGATCACCACAATTGAGAAACACAATAGATAGCATACTGATGAACTCTTGACCTAGTCTAAATTATTGGCATGGAGAGTTAGATTGAGGGCCAATTTGCATGACTCTTAGAAGCATGATTGGCAGATTAAATCTGGGCTGATATTCTTCACTGATTTGGATGTAGGTAAGACTGGTGTAAAGCAGTCTTACCTGCTTGTCTCAGCCATCCCCAATCTAGTGTCCACCAGATATTTTGCATTTCAAGTTACTTAAAGAATAATATTATGCATCCATTTGTGCAAGCATAATGCACTGCTAATTGTGCCACAGAAAGATTGGGTGGAGGTCTGCTAGTGCTATTTCGGTTTGGAAATAACATGATAGATACTAATTGGAAAGTATGATTGTTTAAATCATTAAATTTTAAAACCACCATGCTAAACATAGACAGACTGGCTGGCAAGCCTGTAAATTCATTCAAGCTTGATTGCATGTAAAAGAACACTTGAATACATTGTGACATATATATTTAAAAAATATTTTCTCAAACAAGTAATCACATTTTTGTTTCTTTCCAGATGAAAAAAAGAAAACAAAGAAAATTGATAGTGAACTCAACCCTGTTTGGAATGAGGTGAGTTGCTCTCCTCCTCCTCTAGCATAAAGAGTGCCTGAGGCATGATGCAAGCAAGCTCTTTTGCACTGGATTTATGCAGAATTGACAACAAGAAGCACAAGTAAATGCATACTTCCCATTCCTTGTGTTTGGCTGTATCCAGCAGTATGTGTAGTCTCTGTTTTTCTTGTTACTCATAAGATAGACTTTCCCAGTCTGATTGAAGGATGACAGGAGATGCAGTGCAGCACAGCTGAAGGATACTAGGTTAGGAAAGTCTGTATCAAGGTGAGATGTGCAAGACAGGGAAGAGGTGGCATATTTTACTTAAGCAATAGGTACAATATTCTGTTTCAAATGCTGCTGTGAAAGGACTTGCACTATCTTTTCTGCCTGGGTTTACTAATGTCTGAAACTTCTTCAGGAAGGGGAAGAAAAATGAAATGCTTTACAATTTAAGTACATGGTAAATATGGTAAACAGCTGTGTAAATAAACATGAAATGCATTGTTTTGTGTATGTTGATACCTCCACAGATGGGTGTCATCTGAAGCATGGTAATTTCCTACTGAAGAAAAAAAATTGTCATTTATATCACTAAAGCGGACTCCATAGACTTGTCCAGTCTATTGATATTTCATTCCAGCTTTGCTCAGGTCTGCCAATAGGTTTAGAATGTATGAAGAAAGAAGGGTTCATACACCCACATACATCATACACAAATCTTTTATTTGTATTTACACTTAAATTTAATATATCCGAGTTACCTTTATCACTAGTGTATTTTATCTTCCTCATATGATTCAATGAAGTGTATAAAATCTATTAAAAAAATTATTTGTGATAGCTGTATCTTGTTTTTAGATGGGGCTCTCAAAAGCTGACTGTTGACAGGGGTGACCAGGACCACTTAATAATGTTAGAGTTCACTCTAGAGTATCCACTACAGTCCTGCAAAACCTATTATATTGTCTTGATTTATGTTATTTCTAGTCTAAGCTCAGTTTGCACAGGAACAGAAGGCTTTTAAATACATAATTGGATTGCATGGCTAAATTCATCATTCAGTGACTTCTGCATCATTACCCATAGGACTTCACACAGAGTCAGTACTCATCAAGGCTGCTCAAGGACAAGGTGACACTTAGTCTACATAAAGAAAGTGGCTGCATTGGCAGTTGAATTTTATTTCAGCACCAGTAATGGGATAAGGTCCTACACCACATACAAGGCCGCAAGCTGGTTTAAGGGTGCCAGGACGGGTTGTGCAGCATGCATAGCTCTGTTCTGGAACAAAGGGGAACGGCTATAGGATTTATGAGGAAGATTTGCTAGTGGTTCCCCCCAATTTTCACCTGAGGTAGTTGTTTGAATGTAGAGTCAGCCCTACTAAACAGGAACTGCCCAGGATTAAGTGGAGATGCTCCTTGTGTAAACCCAAATAGGTAGGATTACCCACATGTTGTTCCATCTTAGTGGTGGGATAAGCTACAGTTTCTTTCACATGCTTCTTTTATTAAAATGTTTTAATAAATAATAAATAAATAAACTACATTCAGTGAGGCTATTTGCACAACATACCATGGCTCATTGTGTCTTCCTTAAGCTACTTTGAACCAGGGAATGCACAAACACTATCCTACTAGTCAGTTCCTACTAGGAGTTGCTGTGTTGTATGAACCCAGCCAGTGGGAATTATGTGACAATTAACAGCAACAAGCTGCTGCATGTCATGTGAGCCCAGTCATTGATTGCTGCAATATTTAACCAAAACAAATCCAGAAACACAACTCTGTTGAATAACACTCAATTTTTTAAAAAATGTGTTTCCTTCACATATATGGTCATTCTAGTCACATGTTCAGCTACTGAGCATGACTAGAATAATGCCTAGACATCCATTACATCATTATTTTAATAAAGTATGGGCAATTATAATTACATTACATTTCTATACCTCCTGTATCTGAAGCTCTCTGGGTGTTCGCAACATTTAAATCACCCATCCAGATTTCAACCTGGCCAGACATTGCTTATACTATTTCATAGAGAAAATTAATACTTTGTTTCCCACAGGTTAAAAATGTATAAGAATTTTGCATCTTTAGTCCTATATAAAAGTCTTTCTATTTCATAGTTTTTAGAAATTATTTTGAGAAAATAAAAGCTTCATAGCAATTTATGAACACATATTATACAAATTCTATAAATATCCAGAGTGTCATTTTTTTTCAGGAAAAAATGAAAAGGTCGGCGGGGGGGGGGGAATGGCTTGCATTTTATTATTTTTGGAGGACCTTCATATCTTTGCCTCCAAGTGAGTGATTCTGCTGCCATCATGGGCCTCAGTGAACCTGACATTGCTGTTTATATTAGGTGGAAATCCCCACTGGCACCAATAGAAAAATTCCTGCCAATAGAAATAGCAGCTTCTGATGAGCAATTTTGCTCAACCATGGAAGGAGAGGAGAGTGTTATACTCTCCCTGCCTACCTGCTACCTTATCTCTCCACCCACCAGGTGCTTTTTGCACTTTAAAAAAATGCACATTAATGGAAATATGCATGTAATGTCACATCTAGTTTGGCTTTTGATGCAAACAGTGCAGGAGTTAAAGATAAGCAAGACAATTCTGGACATGTTTTCTCAAAAGTATGCATTATTAAATTTGATTGCACTTACTTCCAAGTAAATGTGCCTGAAATAATGCGTCATGAAATGTGTATTTACTATGGTGAAGGCATGTCTGTATAGACATGGTCTAACTTATTCTTTGTGAGTCTTTCTGATTGATTATATGTGCCTTGTTCCTTTCAGGCTTATGTTTACAGTAAATAGTAAGGCAGCTGATATGCTGTGTGATTTCTTAGGAATGTTTAAATGTGGAGATCTCAGCTCTCTTGCAGACAATTATCTGAGGTCTGCAAGAGGTCTGAGGTTTGAGGTCTGCTCTGGCATGGCATTTGTATAAATTGCTGTCATAAATTTTACTTTGGATCAGGTTTGTGTAGGTGTGTTTCCACTTCATCTATGCCATACATTTTCTTACTAGCCTACTGATATAATCTAGGAAGGCCAAATAAAGTGGAGACAGACTTCCTGAAAAATAGTTGTGCAAAAGAGGGGATTTCAGCACAGCAAGGCAAACTATACCTTGGAAATATCTTCTATGCAAGCATTAAAGGTGCAAGAGCTGTGCAGTTTTTTTTTTTTTTACCTTTTCTACCCTATTTGCACAGAATCCTATAAAATGTTGCACAAGATATTGAAAAAGTCTCACAAAGCCCTACAACTAAGCCCTACAAATATCAGTGAGGCTTTTAAATCATGATCTGCAGTATGAACCTATGCATGATCCTAACCATTGTATTCCATAAGGCTTACTCCCAATTAAATTGCATTATTTTCAGTGGGACATAATATCACTAAACTTTGGTGGACTATTCCATTGTGTGCATGTACATTTGTACATCTCTGAAAACCTAATATTATACACATTTACCTGAACTAGCCCTGAGGAATGTTCTAAGGCTGAATTCCTATATACTGTATTTATCTGAGAGCAGGCATGCATATGATTGCACTATTCAGGCACTGTCAACCTTGATACCCAGAAAGAAGTACAAATGAGTATCCAACAGGGTCATTCTTCAAACTGAAACAGCAATAGTGGAATTCTGCAAAATCTTTCAGTTGCATAAGTGCAGCGCATGGGTCATTCCTGAAAATGATTTGCAACCTCTTGCACAAGCAACTGCACAAGTGAAGCTCTAGTTGGACTGTCCACATGTCCATAGCTTGGAATTTCTGCTATTGGAACAAAGCAATATGAATAGAAGCATACACTGCGAACTGCCCAGTGGCTGCATGTACCTATGTAATTGTGTCACTGGTTTTAAAAAAAGTTTTTTTCTTTAAATGTTTAAAATTGTATACTCATTTATGTAATGATGTTCAGTTATTAATGGCTATTTTAATTATTTTACACAGATACTGGAATTTGATTTGAGAGGAATACCTCTGGATATTTCATCATCGCTTCTTATTGTTGTGAAAGACTTTGAAACTATAGGGCAAAACAAGTAAGTCAAAGGGGTTTTTTATTATTCTTTGATGCATTTATTTTTCATGGCAATTGGCTCCAAACAGACTTTTAATAATTAAGTCCAACAATTTTGTAATAAATTTGTATGATTGAATTTGCTACGTTTTAAATACTTCAGTTATCCTACTGAATTATTTACTGTTGATTTGTCTGCTTTGTACTTCAGCCGGTTTTTCTCATCTCCTGGGAGTGAACAGCTCCTAACACTACCAGTACAGGCTTTGTGCAGAAGTCTTTGCTTCCTTAAAGTATTCTTTGTGAAAAGAAAAAAAAAATGAAAGAAGAGATGGGAAAACAGGGGAGGGTTTCAGGTGGAAGACAATGACTTATGGATCCCTTATAAAATTATGCGAATGAGACCATGAAATTGCATGAGAAAAGCCTCATTGGGAAGCATCCAGGATTATAAGGTCTGTGTGAGGACAAAGGCTCTGTATATATGTTTTTTCTCCATTCCTGTCTTTCTTGATTATCATTCCAATAGTGACTGAGTTCACATGATACAACAATCTAGTGTGGTTTGCTGCCTACATTGGGTTATTAAGCTCATGCGAAATGAGACCATGTCATGCAAACTGAGACCAGCAAGCCGCCTCAACAACTCATGGGCTTTTGTAGGAGTTATTGAAGGAGAAGGATCGTTCTACTGTATGAACTTGGGCAACCCACTCCATTGTGAATACAGGCAATTGGCTAGAGAGCTATTTGGACAAAAATGGCAAAAAGCCCTTCTTACTCTTGGCAAGCAGCTTTCAGGGCATGTAGCTTTTACTGGCTTTCCCCCTAATCCCCTGCCATGATTGTTAGCAATGTTTCACATTAAAAATGTTGAATCTCCCCTCAGTCTAGCCCAGGTCATACATCTCATTAAGAGACCTCAATAGAAATTAAGCAACCTAATTACATGAAGAACTGGAGCCAAGTAGAGCTACCATTGTGATGTTCCTGTCTTCATTTTTCCACCCAATACACTCTGTTGTTGAGGTGTGCACACACACAGTGCTAGATGCATTACAGATTTTTGTGTTTATTATTGCAGAGTGCCAGAGCAGGTGTGCAATATAGTTGGATTCAGTGCTCATGGACTTGCCTTTTCATTTCAGGAAGTCAGGAAGTGAAAGCAAGGGTGGCTATGCTAATTTTTTTTTTCACCTTCTGCTCATTATTTTGTGATTCATACATCAGAATGCTTGAATTGTTAAAAGTTGACCAAGCAAAGTTTATTTGGAAAGGCATTTCCTGCAAGTAATTTTCCATTCTCTTACTTTCACTTCTTTTACAACATAAATTGCAAATGTTTTTGCTGCTGAAGAACTAAATTACAAAAATCTGCTCTTTCAGAAAGATAGTAGATAAGCACTTGTAGATTTTTTCATATCCCAGAACAGATACTAACATACATATTTGCATTTTAATACTTCTACCAGTTTTAATAAAAATAGCTTGTTCCATACTCTAGCAGAACAGTCCTATACATGGATACTCAGATGAAAGCCCCCTTGAGTTAGATAAGGGCAATAGGTAAAAAGTGCCACCTTTGTCAAAGAAGCAGAGTGAATGACTTGGATCCTAAGATGTTTAAATGGCATTAAACATTAATGACTTGGATCCTAAGATGTTTAAATGGCATTAAACATTAATGACTTGGATCCTAAGATGTTTATTAAAGGAAGTTATCAGAAGCTAAGATTGCTGTCCATTCCTCTGTCCTGTCCTCCTGCATCCCATCTGACTTTGTTCAGGAGTCATTCTCCCTAACCCTCACTGACTCTCCAGGAGGAGGAGACAGGGAACTTTCCTTGTGTGATATTTAATAATCTGATCTTGTTCCTGTTTCATTTCTTATACAGATTATTCATGATACTGTAATGACAGCTAGGACAATAAACTTCTAGGACTTCTGGTTTACATAATTCCTTATACTCAAAATATACTACTGTTTATCAAATCTTTTGGGACATGTACAATTTGGTGAGAGAGAGACGTGTCTGCTGGGATTAACAGAGTGGAGGAACTTTCATGAGATTGTGGAAACAAGGAGAGAATACTATCTGAACTCTCAAACAGGCTTGCAGATTCACATCTGGGCTACCACCTCCAAACAGGAGCCTCATGCTGTGTTTCCTGATATTTGCTGTGTTATTTGCATGTCATATAATGATCCACTGCTGATGATCATTACAAATAGTGGTGCTTTTATTTACAAATGGGGAGTTGGTTTCTAGTTATTCTTGCCAAGTACAAATAGTGAGTGTGTAAACAAAAATTACTGGGAATACTGCTTGCCTCTCCTGCTTAGGTCTCTTGTACAACCTCTTGCTCTCTTTTTCGCAGTACTGTAACTAAGGCTGCCAACTGATCAGAAGTGGGTGGTGGGGGATAAACATATCCCAGCCTACTCTTGTATTTTACCAGTAGCTTGATGAGCAGATGATTTTTTTTTATAAAATGGAAAATAAATATTTTCACCTGTTCTGCATCCACATCAAACTGTTCTTATAGGTACAGAAGCAGGGGCTACCAAAATGTTGGAAACCTTAGCTCTAACACCACTGTGTTTCTAACTGCTGTCATGGTCAACTAGTGTGGTAGCTATATGCAGTTGTTATACTTGCCCTGTTTCCTAGGTGAGCACATCCATGACCATTCAATGGTAAGCCAATAGTCCAATACACACAGTCATTTAATGGGTGCTCTGGTAGTGAGGGAACAGATCCATGACCAGCAGCTCTGGTTCACTGCACAATATTACTAGTGGTAACATTATTCCTGTTAGAACTCCCTTAATTTATTGCTTTGGAAGCATTTTCATGATGAGTTTATAATACTATGATTGACTGGTGGCATTTCCTTAATACAGGTGATTACTATCAAGGTACTTATTTAACAGTGTAATCATAAGCATGTTTACTTGGAAATGAGTCCCATTTAATCCAGTGCATCTTGTTCCTAGAAAAATATGATTAGGAGTGCATTGAAAGTCTTTCTTTTCAAATTCTATTACCCACAGGGAAACAATTTGTGGCTTTCCAGGTGTTTTAGACCACAGCTCCTAAAATCATGTATCTGCATGGCTAATGGTCAGAGACTGTAACAGTTGTAGTCAAACAAAATTTTTTTTGAGGTGGGGCAGCCACACAAAATACAGAATTGCTGAATTCTTAGAAAAACAACTTAATAAAGGATACAATGCTAAGTCACTTATTTGCACATTTACCAGCTCAGGTGGGTGGTTTATGTGCACAGGCACTGTACAGTTTGAGATGGGAACCTGTAAATTTGTACAGGATGAGTTCCCATCATAGACAGTACACTATTTACTAAGATAGCCAGGTGGGAAAAAAAGGACAGGACTTCTGTACCTTTAGTAGGCCTTCAGCAGAGGAGTTTCAGCTGATCAATTGCTGAAATTCCCTTTTGTTACCTGTTTACATAAATGGGCCATGCCTCTCAGCTGTTATAGACAGAAACAAATGTTGATTTTGAACAAATTTTCTCCCCTTGTTTCTTCCTTGTACTCACTTTCACAGCCACTCTTTTCCAGTTAAGAATCCCACCCAGGCATGAGACTAGCACAGCTGCAAAGAGAAATGTAGAAGGCTACAGTCCTCCTTTTTCTCTTCCAGACTGCCCTGTTCATCACCATCCTTTTGCAGATGTTCAAATGTCTCATATGGATTTCACGGAAGAAATAGATGCTTCATGTCACATTCCAGCAAACTGATATCAACAGAAGCACATGAGGGGTGATCATAGGAAGAGTCCTGCTAGGTCAGCCATATGACTGTAAAGTCTACCATCCTGCTTCCTACAATGATAAGCCAGATGTTACCAGGAAGCCTTGTGTTTCTTCCCAAAACTGATATTCTGCCTCTGAAATTGCAGACCCCATAGCAAATAGTCACTTCCAATCCTCCTTTTTTATGGTAGTGAGTACCATATGTTAGGTGTTGCATGAAGAACTTCCTAGTCTGCAGTCAATTTCATGGGGTAACCATGAGTTCAACTCCCATCATTCATAGCAGAATGACCATAACTGTGTAGAACAGAGAATTCAGCAAGTATAGCTTGCCCAAACACACACACACACACACACACACACACACACGTAGTTTAAATTCCATCTTCTGCACAACTCTTACAGGTAAATGCCCTGCCCTCTTTTGCATCTAGCCACCCTACTTCAGTGGTGCTGCTGTGGGATAACTTACTTGGAAAGAGAAAATGACATTTGTGATTGAAGCAACAACAGGCAGGCAGGGGGTGGGTTCATTCAGAGAGGAAAAGAGAGAGAGCTGCAAGGATTCCATTCCTCTTTCTCCCCATTTTTCTTAGCCAATGAGTTTGTTCTTAGAAGAATACTATGGTAACTATTTCCTTAAAGCTGCCTACTCATTGCAATGGCATGTCTGTCCTAGTATTAAAATTCAAGCACAGCATATTTTCCCACTTCTCATAGAACTGTAACTTGCTTTGACTTGCAGCCACCTTATCCTACCTTCAGATCTCACCAGGCTTAATGTGCAGTTGCTGTAGCAAAGACATCAACTCCTGGGAAAAGAATGTGGAAAGCCCTACAACTGCAATATTTAGCACAATTGGAACAGGAGACACAATCCACGTGACTGATAGCATGTCTGGGTTTTCCCTTATAAGGAAGACGGGAGAGAGGGAAGACATCTGTTTTCTGTTATGTTAGCTTAGTATCTAATGTCTCTAATTTTACAGAAGGTTTTCTAAAACAAAATCAGCAACTTTAAAAAATGTTAAAAGTGCAATACTGGGCAAATATGGTCTTTTCTTAGAGGAAGTAATTTACACCAAGTTTGTGTGAAGTGATTGTATTCCCTACGTGGGAGGAGAGACATTTGCTCCCCAGACATTAAATTGTTTGGTAACCTAGCAACAAAGGAGAAAAGTGGTAGGTCAGACTTCATTATTTAAGAAAGAAGCCATTACTTCGGTGAGGAATACAAACTTACGAATAACGTCTGCAGTTCTTGTGCAGTCTTGATTATGTCCATGTTTATTCCAACAAAAGTCAAACTGTACTTCACGGGAGGATGTATGAGAGACTGTGCAGTGGGGAGTGAAAGCCCAGTCCACTCAGAGAATTAGCACCCTAATCCAGAATGCAAACCAGAATTGGGCTAAATGATTAGTTTCATGAAAGCTTCTGAGAACTGATGTGAGAGCACCCAAAGATTCCCTGTTTAGATTGGGTAGTTTGAAGCTGACCACTAATTCTCCATACCTAAGAGATGTAGACCTGCCTCATTCAGGTCACCAGAGCTATCCTGCCCATTAAGGAGGCACTGAGCATTTCTGATACCTCATATTGTAAAGATGTCCCTGGCAGATGTTGCTAGCCGGGAGATGCCATGCAGTAAAGAAGTGGTAGGCTTCAGTCCTCCAAACAGTTGTCACATTCTCAGGTTGCACAAATAGTAAAGTATCAGTAACGACAGGGTCAGCTAATACCATTGTTACCTTAGATTCTCCAGAATGGGGTTTCAGTCTCCCACCCCCACCCCCCAACTGTTGTACATATATATGAAACCACTGAGTGGGTCTTCTGGAGCTTTGCAATGCTGCTAGTGGGCAGTTCTTCTGACTGGATGGTGGAAATTCAATCTGTTCTGGGTGGAGCTCTACTCCCCCTTAAGAGGCAGGTTTCTAGCTTGGATATGTTTCTTGAGTCATCTTTCTCACTTGCCTCAGTGACATGGGTTACCTTCTACCAGCTTTGACCAGTGGCTTAGCTATGCACTAGCTTGAGATGATCTGGTTTCAATAATGTATGCTCTCATGATCTCTGCACTAGATTAGTACTAGGCTCTTAACATAAGGCTGTCCTTGAAGACTGTTCAGTATCTGGAGCTTGTGCACAATGCAGCAAGACAAATTAAAGACAGGAACCAGAAGGTCTGAACACGTAAGATCAATTCTGATCTGGTTGTGTTGGCTACCTGTATGGAAGATGGTGATCTGGAAGTGAGGGGTTTGACTTTACCCGTTTGTCATGGTCAGATCACTTCCTTGTGAGGTTTGAGCTCGGGGCCAGTTTCCCCCTCTGTAAGGGTGCAGACCCTATCATTCTGCATGCATTTGCAAGAACACATCTATTATACTAGATTTTTTAAAAATTGCCTTGAGTATGGTACGTAAGTGCAGCTGCAGGTCAAAAGGAACACAAAATGATTAACAAGAAAGAAAACAGGTTAGAAGTTACTGGCACAGTAATTGACTAAGCCCAATTAGTGGTAAGCAAGATAAGAAGCAGGGAAGGAGCAGATGTGAGGCCCAACATATTGCAAGCAGAGTAATACAAAACAATATAAAATTTATTCTGTAGGGACAATTGTGGCTGGCAGCACATTCTTATACATTTCAACTCAGATGTAAGACCCATTGAGTTAAATTGGAAGTGATCTCATATAGGTGGGTATAGGATTGTACCTTAAAAGTTAACTGTTGCTGCTAAAACCCTAAAGTCTGTAGTGAAGGAGGAGGATGCTTTCTAGAGTAGCTAGGATCAGGGACTGATATATCTGTCTATTTCAGTATCTCTTAATTTAGCATTAATTCAGTCTTACGTACATTTCCACATCAGTTTACTTTAAAAAAATAATCCACACAAAATTTGTGAATTATTAGTGTGCATTTCTCTTAATATAAGCATTTTGTTCATTCTTGCTTAATGTGCACATTTCTTTGCAAACACTTCTCCCTAGTATAATGTATTTTGTGCATCATTTCCCCCAATATGCCTCTATTTCTCCACATTTCTCTCTATTGTATATATTTTACATGCATTTTTAATTGGAGAACTTTGGAGCAAAATTTGGAAAAGAGCAAGGATAACTACATTTCAATTTCAAATGAATGAATTTCTCCCCCATTTCTGCCTAAGACTATATTGTAGAACCAAGTTTTCTAGAAGGGCATTGACCACCCCCTCCCACTTTGGTTGAAATGGATTCTTATATGCATAGTCTTTTAATAGGATAATGGGAGTAGCAGTAGTTATACTGCAAAATGGGATAAGCAGTTGGGTTTCTGTTCTGCAATGGAAAGTCAATAGATAAAGCTACAGAAATGCATAAAATGAGTCAGTTAATCCAGGCCAAACACAAAACATTCCTCTTACTAACCTACCCCACTTCCTTATGTACAGTGGTGTGATAAGAGCTGACAGGAATTTGCATGCTCAAAGAGTTTCAGACAATCTTCTCCAAAAATGGAAACAGCAGTTCCTTCTCTGAAAAGGAGGAAATGGAATGAATGTATGAATTTATTGTGTATATCAAAATCCAGGCAGTCAGTTGTATGATTAGAAGGACAGTTCAGAAGGGAACACTTATTTTTCTCCCACTGGGTGTGCTCAGAAGACAGCTACCATGGTGAAATCCTCACCCTCACCTACACCCTGGGCTTCTAGTAGGCTCTCATAACATTTGCCAGCAGTTCTAGGGATGGGTGAGAAGTTTGTATGGATCCTCGTTTGATAAGAACTGAAACTGACAGATGTATCCAACCTGGCCTAGGGCTTTGAGTGCTTAGCTTTAAAAATACAGGTCTGAATCCCTAAGTGCATATTTTTATAGTGCCAGAGTTGGGTCTTTATCTCTTTTTTTTTTTACTTTGTTTCAGTTTATGTTTGCTATTAACCAAAATTCGCACATTTATTCATGTAGAGAGTGAAAGAATTTCACATTTGAACAAATATGGATGTGGACAAAAGCAGCATTGACTCCCCAAGGGGGTACATATGTGTATAATATTTGCATATGCTAATTTATATGTATAACACAGTCCTTGTTAAACTGGGATAGATTCTCACCAGGTGACCTGTGTGTTTGTCTGCTCTGTTGTCCAGCTGCCTGCTGCTGCTGAATAACTTCAGGGCTCTTCCTTCTTATAATTCTTTATTTGTAAACTAAACTTGGATAGGACAGCTCTTCAAATAGAGCACTATCTTTTGTATAGAGCATATATGGCTATTTCAAGCTTGTCTGAAATCTCTTGCTCTAGTTCTCTTGATCCTCAAATTAAAGGCTGTGAAAGGAAGGGGCTTCTTTCTTTTTCTTTTTCTTGTATATTTGATATAAATAGTGGCTTGATTTGGAGAAGCTTGAAAGGGTATCTTCTCCTCTCCCCCACCCCCTAACCTATAAAAGCTATTACATCAGTGAACATGCCTCTGAAAGACAGTGTTCAAAACAAAGATACCAATAGCAGATAATCTTCTCATCTGGTTGACAGTTTTAGCAACACCACCCTTGTACCTTATGACAGCTGTGTAAGAACAGATTCCTAATGAGAATTGTTTTGAAATCTTCCAACTTGTGATTCCATTTCCCCATTGGATGAGCACTTCCCTAACCAAATTGCAATTGAGAAATAATTGAACCCTGTCTACATTCTCAGCATCAAGTCATTCCTGTATAAGGCACCTTCTTATCCCTTGTGTTTTCTTAGAACAACTTCTCCCAACCTGGTGCCCTTGAAATGGTTAAGACTGGAGTCCCATCATTCCCAGCCAGCAGGGCCAATGATGCAAATAGGTTAAATGCAATATACACTTACACACTTGATGAAATGAAACGGACAGTGCCACAAAAACGTAAGCCAGAATAAATTTGTTTTTCAGGTGCCACAAGTCTCTGTTGTTTTTGCTGCAACAGACTAACATAGTTACTCCTCTAGTACATGACATGCCTTGCAGACAAAAAGAGGACAGATCTTTCTGCCAATGAACTTCCAAATTACAATTTGATGAAGGGAAACAACAGAGAATGGGGAAGGAATGGGAATAAACAGGAAATAATGTGTGTTATATGTAATGCACTACACTGGGACATATGCATGTTCAACTTTCTAGAACTAACTTTGGTTTTTTCCCCCTCAAGGGCATCCAACACAGACTGGCAACTGATCAAAGAAAACTACTGTTGTTAGTTAATGTTTTAAACATACACGTTCCTCTTACTTTTCAGGTTAATTGGCACAGCATCAATAGCACTCAAGGAACTAGTAGGCACTCAGAGTAGATCGCTTCCATACAAGCTTGTTCCCTTGCTAAATGAAAAAGGACTCGAAACTGGAGTGAGTGACTTGCTTACTTGTATTAATTTACTGGATCAAATATTCCAATAACATAGGAAATACTGCACCTACAAATATACATAGGAAAGCTACAGTGGTTGGTATAAATGCTAAAGATGCAAAATATATGTAAAGGCAGCTAGAGGAATAACCAAGTGTGTTTCAATAGTATTTTGCACAATCAATGTACTTTTATTCCCTTTGTATTTCACATAACTTCCTTTGAAGTTGTACTTTTATTGAAGGTACCTGACAACAGTTCAGGGTTGGTAGGCACACAGAAACTCTCAGTAGAATCTGGGGTCCTCAGTCTTTTTTGATTGGTAAACACATTTTGAATTTTGGAAGCAGGTCATGGGGCTCTCACAAAATGGCTTCCTTTGGAAGCTTGACTATTTATAAAATAGCTACCATGGTAGTCATGATAAGTCACAAAACACTCATTTCTCAAAAGCAAACTTGTAAGACTTGCTCAAGAAGCTAATTACAAGACAGAGGTGAAGTATGAGCTCTAAAACACAAAATCACTCATTGAACCTAAAGACAAATGGCTTTGGAGGGTAACATTTTATTTTGCAGTATTTCAACCTTCCATTTTTAAAGGACAAAGAATATTTAAGAAATCACAAAAAATGTGAGGGAAAGGGAGCCTTCAGTCACCAAAAGAGAAGTCTGTAGGTACTTTTGACCCCACAGCAAGCACTTTGGAGAGCCCAGCACTGAATAGTCCACATTAGATTATTAATAAAGTCTGTAAAATAAGTATGTATCCTTATACATAAATTTTAGTGTCTGATGTAAATGGACTCCCTGCTGCACAATCTTAGAACTGGAGTCCAGCATTATTATTTTTTAACTAGCAAAGAACTACAGTGCCATCTTTTCTGCCTTACTACAGCATAGGCTATAAGGATTCATCATGTACTAGTTATATATAACTTACCATGAATTGCCACTGATTTATATCTTCTGTTCTGGGTGGCCATTGATTTGTAACAAGAAATTCAAGCAACATGAGTATGCCTGTGACTCATCTTTGCTGCTGACCTTCGTTGTCTCATGATGTACTTCTTTTGAAGGCCTCTGACATTCAAGGGGACTATTCACAGGCTTGGAGAGCTAGATGTAGTGGCTTCCTGCTGAATGGCTATGAGCCCAGGAAGCCATGGAGTTTCCAGGGCAAACAGACGGCACTGCTTCTGGTTTTGGATGTTTACAGGCTGTTTGTTTTATCAACAATGCTTTGAATATATATGCAGTTAAAGTATTCTGACATGCAGAGTTGTGAAAATAAAATCGTGAGTTGTATGGAAAATCATACACACTGCCTTGAGTTCCTTGGATGAAAGGTGGAACACAAATGTAATTAATAAACAAACAAACAAAGCTCATGCTAATCTGAAACTGAATACGAGGCAGTCCCTATCATTAATAGCTACTTAGGAACCAAGAGAGCTTATGAACCTAAGCAAGCTTTAGAAATATTTTATTTGAAGCATGTGTCCTATGACAGACTACCTTTGATGTTTAGACTTTGTATGATATAGATTTTTGTAATAGGGCAAATGGGTGTTGTTGTTTAAGCTCAGTAGGCTGGTACAATACCTTCTGTGAAGTAGTACTTTTAAGGCTTGGACAATTTGCAATTTTTCTTTTCTTTTAATTTAGGCAACCATTGATTTGGTGGTAGGATATGAGCCACCAGCTGGACCTCCAAATCCAAATGACCCAGGGGGAACTAATACTCAAGGCACTGAAGGTATGTCATAATTCTTCAGTGTTTGCTCCCTCCTACTCCCCTAAGGGTTTTAAAGGATTACATGAAGATTAGTAAGAACTCAATCTGTCTGGACATAGTTTAGTGTTAAATGCAAGAACATTGTGCACTGTCCTCTTTACTCCTCTGGTACCGTGTTGAGGAGGTGGAAATCATCACTGGCTTTTAAATGTTTGAAATATCCATTACATATGAATGCAGAGGTGGTGAACTCTGGTTGTTTTAACCATGGTTAATGAACAAGTCAGACCCCTAAATGATGGCTTAATCTTGGCTTGTAACAGGGAGCTCTAGACTGGTTAAAAATAGAACTGCCTACTCCTGATCTCCTTATTGCTGTGCCAGAGAAGGAGTGGTGGCTAGGGGAATGTATAAGCATGAAGTTCGTGCAGGCTAATGTACAGAATACAAAACCAAAAAGTTAGCTTTACATTTGAAAAGGTTCAGTGGTAAACAAACAAACAAAACAAAACTGTCTTAAGCTACATTTATGGATGCATGGTAGGCCCATGTGCCGGTTTAAACCTATTGCTGACCTAATCACGTGACAATAAGGTAGGGTCATCCTTATCTCCCTTTACAGCCAAAGGGAGATAAGGATGAAACAAGCCGGACCTTCTTTCCAGTTCTCAGAATGGCAGAGTGTGTGCCTGAAAGATCAGGTCCATGACACCAATAATGTAGTAGAACCACGGCTCACAAGGATGCAGTGCCTCTGCTGTTTTATATTAGCAGGGTGCCAACAGCATCTGCCAATCCTGTCAGAATTCACCTTTACCCTGTGATATTAGCTACAATCCTTACAGAAGCTGGGGGACTAGGAATGCATTTTCTCAGCAATCTATAACTGTGAGCTTTTCCTGTTTTGGGGTGGCATGGTCTTCTGCATGTAAAATGCCCAGTGGTTCTATAAAAGATCTGTTTCCAGTGGAGATAAAACTGCTAGATTTTGGTTTGTTGATTTGGATAAACATTGCCTGAATTTTTGGGCTTTTCCTGGAGCCATGGCTATGGGCACTGTCATCATTAGTGCCTGTACTTCAAGATTGACCACTCCACCACTGCTTCCCTTGGCTCACAGCCCTTCTTTCAGGTGATTCTCCTCAGCTGAGCTGAGCTTGGCCAAGGAGAAAAGCATTTGCAGAGAGGAGCTGTGTGGTTGGCTGGCACTGGGAAGAGGAGCTTCATGGCCTTTTTGCTGCTAAAATTGGATACATATACCCTGCCGCCTCCTCCTTTATATATGACTTTGACTTAAACAAGCATGATTGTGACACATATAGTTTGGCTCTCTCAACTGCTTCTTAAAGGTATGAAAGAGAAAATAGAGTCTGTCAGTTCCACCTAATACCTGTATAAATCAAGTTAATGCCTGAAGCTCTCCATTCCAGTAATTAGTGCTTAAGACAGTTGCTGTTATGATTTAAAGCCTGTCCCAAATGTTAGACATTTATGTCATGAAAACCATTTTGTTAGTTTTAGAAAACTTTCTGTATAGTTAGCAATAAGTCCCAGGTGAGAACAGAGACTTGTGTTAGCAAGAAATATGCTTAGAGGCCAGGGTGTAACCTTCCCCTAAGCTACAAAAACTTGTTCTTCCAGTTTCATCAAGTGAAGTCAATGTTAAGCTTTAAATCTTATTGTAAGAGCCTGGTCTATTAAGTTTTTACATTTTTACCAGGTGTGGAACTTTATTTGCAAAATAGGAACTGAGCCTAAACAAAGGATTTGATTAATTTCCCCAAAAACAGAATAATAGTTATGCAAAATTAGCTTGTGGCACAAAATTTCTTTTAGCTGTGGGTCTGGAAACGGAGTTTTATTTTTTTTATATGTATATTCTAGTGTCACAGTACTGTATACAATCCTACCTCTTGTACTTTGAAGTAGTTCAGTGTATGCACAGTCTTATCTTTTGATAAACCATTTGTTTAGATTTAGAAATTCTAAGATGGATGCCAGTATGTTCATTAGCAGGTGCTCAGTTATTTGTTTTTTAAGATTTGGTTTCTGCTCAGTGGGAAATCTGATGATGGGGGATACTTTAAGGGAAACTGATTACAAAACAGTACTCTTTAGTTTTTAAACTGTTTAATGCCGGTTACTAAATATTCAGAATCATCTATTTAGGAAGCATGTGTAATGGCACTCTAATAGATATCTTTGCAATTTCACTATTTGTGGTAAAGTTTTGCAACTCAGATTTCTGAAGACTGACCAAATGTTATTTCACCATAATGAATTTCACAGTTTCAATTCCTGTTTAAAAATAAAAGTCACAATATTATATTTCTATCAAAGAGATTCCTGAAGTAAATTACATTTCTGTGTTGAAGCCTGGTCTGTTCCCATTAAGGTGACAATCCTATTGAATTCAATGAAATTGACTCCTGAGCAGAAATATATGGGGTTGTGCTGTAAAATTATTATACTTGTTATGCTGCAGTCGCAGTTGCGCTTGGGCAGGGAAGACAGGTGCGATCGCAGTTGTACTTGGGGGAGTGGGGAGATGGCCGTGATCGTGGTTGTGCATGTGCAGGGAAGACGGGTGCAATCGTGATCGTGCTGTCAGGGCGGGGGGGAGATGACCGCAATCACGGTCATGGTCGTGCAGGGACAATGGATGCGATTGTGGTCGTACTTGGGTGGGAGATGGCCGCAATTGCACCTGTCTTCCCTGCCCAAGCGAGCCTGCGATTGCACCTGTCTGTGGCCGCGATTGCGAGCACACTCGTGCAGCGAAGACAAGCGAGATCGCTGTCATGCTTGGCGGGAGAGGAGATGGCCGCAATTGCAGTTGCGCTCGTGCAGGGAAGACGGGTGCGATCACAGTCGTGCTCAGGGGAGAGAGGTGATCATGCTCGGTGTGGGGAGATGGCCGCAATTGCAGTTGCTCTTTGTTACTTTGTTGTTGTTTGTCACTTGGTTTCAAATTTTTGTGATTAAAAAACATTGGTTACAGAATGGATTAACCTTATTTACATTGAACCTTATGGGGAAATTTGACTTGGCTCACGACCAATTTGGGTCGCGACCAGAGTCATGGAACGGATTAAATTTGTGAGCCAAGGTACCAATGAAGTTGTGATAAGATTTTTCTTATCTGCTGGGAGTCACCAACTCCGCTTCCTTGCTCTCTTTACTGCAACAGGATTAATTGAAAAGATGTATGTCTTCAACAGGTGGAGAAGAAAATGAGGGTGATGAATATGCACCTGATGGTGAAACTGGTGTTCTCCCACAAGTTGGTGCAAGTGGCATCCATGAAGCACAGCTTGCTCGACGTATTACCAAAGGAAAGAAAAATCGGAAAATAGTTTCTAACAAACCTCAAGACTTCCAGGTTGTACAATTGCTAGATAATGTACTCTCTGATTTCTATGGACTGTACAACAGCTAAAAGGCCAGTTTTTAGAATACTGCAAGGCTGCAATACATATTAGGTTTCTTTTGTTTATGCTTACCTAGAGATAAGTCTTACAGATTGCAGTAACACTTGCTTCCAAATAAAATGCATAGGATTGCACTGTAAATGTCAGCTAGAAGGAGAGCTGATGCATGATAAACAGATTTATTTTTCTGTTCAGAGCTTTCAGAAGCTCTTGTTTAACTTTTGGAAGATTCTTTTCCCTGGTGTAGTGTCTTTGGCTTCAGTTTATCATAACAAAGGAGTGGTAGGAGTAAATCCCAGGATTTATGAGTAAAGTCTGGAAATATTTTTTTCTGAGTACCTCAGCAGCATTTGATAAGCTAACATACTAAAAGTGAAGATGTAAAACTATTTAAACATTCACCATAATCTAATACAGGGATTAAATAGTGTGCTATAGAGATGTCGAGCTCCAACTTCTGTTATCCCTTGGGTGGATGGGAGTTGTACTCCTAAATATCTGAAGAGCCCCAAGTAGAAGCTGTTTTATACAATTAAAGTTACCTAACTGGTAACCTAACTACCTAACCTACCTAAAATATCACTGATCAAATATCTGTACTTTTCTCTGTCAGATTCGTGTTAGGGTCATTGAAGGCCGTCAGTTGTGTGGGAATAACATAAAGCCTGTTGTAAAAGTATATGTTTGTGGCCAGACACACAGAACAAGAATCAAAAGAGGGAACAATCCGTATTTTGATGAGGTAAGTGTATCCTTTGCCAGGTGTCTAGGTCAAAGGCATATTTTTTAAACTTGATATAATTGAGATTACAAAATTATTAAAACATGTTTTTCTCTCAAAAGATGACCTCCAAGGTGACTAAGTAATTTCAGTAAAAATATGACAACAAAACTGCAGCATATGCTGTAGAATCTATATTTTGTGGACCATATGGACAAAATGGCTAAGGTTTGCAATTTATGTCAAAGCAAGCTTGCTTTGACATAAATTCTGTGCAATCAATGGCATTTACTGCTAGTTCAATATTATCAAGTCTGAATCAATGAACATGACTGCATCTTTCTTGGCAATTTATGTTGTACATGTGATATCTGCAATCCAGATCTTAGAGAAGGACAAGTCCATTCTACCTCCATGCCATCTGGATTGGTATTCTGTTCCTGCCTTAGAGTAAAAAGAAAAGGAATGTCTAATTTGGCTCTTAGTGTCTGATACAATATTTTACTGTATAATATTTTATTATTATAATATTTTGCTGCAAACTGACTCGAACGTCCATTGTGCAGAAATTAGGGGAACTGAATGGGGTGGATTAAACAGGAATGCCTGTGAGTTTCTGGAAAGATGGATGGGATACAAGCGCACCAACCTGAATCACATTACATTCAAATCAAGTCAGATTTAAGAATGTGCTTAAATATTATTTTTTTAAAAAGAGCAATGCAATTCTCTATTTCACACCTCTTCTTTCTGAAGACTTAGTATCTAAGATACTCCCCACTGTGCCTCATATCTTAACAGATGTTTTTCTACAATGTCCACATGACCCCTTCTGAGCTCTTTGATGAAACAATAAGCATTCGGGTAAGGAAAACTAACAATGTTCTTTATAACTGCCTCACTGTTGTTGTGCTTAACTCTTACGTTATTTTACTTCATTTTATTATAGTTATATGACTCTTACTCATTACGTGCTGACAGTCTATTGGGGGAATTTAAGGTAAGCATTCTTGATCATCTACTACATGTTGTCTATGGAATGTTCTTTGTACTCTTTCTACCCTCTTACCAAGGCTGCAATGAAAGGGATGGGGAAAAAAATTCAGTCCTTTTCAAAGATGGCTGCCATACTTTTTTCTTCTGGTGGAAAACTAGATGTGTGAATTGATTTGTTGCCCAACCTATCTTCTTACCAGGGATAATGAAAGGAACAACAAAAGGAGTGCACATCCTTTTGTTTGAGGGGATTGTCCATGTCATAGTTTGTACCTAGACTCAGAAGTTATTGATCTTCCCAACTCGAAATAAGGTTGCCTTCAACTCTGGTCTGATATGGGGAGAAATCTGCTAGAGTTATAAAAAACAAACAAAGCAGTAACAGACTGGATTTAATATTCTGTGAGAGAAGACTAACACAGAAACATTTTAACATTTGGTTCCATTAATAAAGACTCTGATACCTAGCATTTTGGGGCATAGTAACCTTTACTGCAAATGCTCAGTTGCTCTTGTTATTCTATGTATAAAATCTTGGATACTGGATAGTGTATCTGTGAGGAATCTGACCAGATCCAGTATTTAAAAAGGCGACTCTTCTGTGCCATTTTCATTGACTTCTTTGTTTCTTTGTAAGCTTATTTCAAAATGTTGCCTGTTAAGGTCTCAAATTGCTTAGAACCCAGAGGAGCAGAAGGATGCCTTCCTACCCTAGCAAACTGCTTGATTCCAGAGGTTTTCAGGAAAGGCTATGTTACATAGGTAGTCAGTGAGACTCATCTGTTGGAAATATGGGGGGAAGCCTTTGCTTTTGCCTTGCCCCAGTTCTGGAATACCTGATGGGTGCACTTGGCTTATTCTTTGATGGATTTCTTTCTTGATATACTTGTTTTAACCACTCGTTGGCCTGTTAGATATGTAAAGATATGGCCTGTTAGATATTTAATATGTAGATATTTCCAGATTATATATTGTTGTGTGTATGTGTTTTAAGCTTGATTTATATTATCCACTGTGGTACTATTTATTTTGTCATTTGGGTGCTTTATGGATGCTTTTGGATCCGTTATGAACTACCCTGAGTGCTTCATATTCTCTTTATTTTGCTGTGACATAGATAGCCGTGAAAGCGACAGCAATTGTTCTATGCTCTTTTTTTTAACCTGAAATGACATGATTGCAGTGTCATTCTGGGATGATTTGCACTGGTGGGGGAAGGAAACATGGCTTATACCCTAAAACTAGGGAAGTGAAGGCAGGGGTAAATAAGGGAACAGTTTATTTATTTTATTTAGCACTGTGATAAACCATACTTGAGGTTGCTTACAAAAAAAAAATATGAATCTCAATCAAAAGTTTGTATGTATAAAATAACTTAAAGCAGTAATAACAACCCCATACAATATATCATTGGACAGCCCTTACCTTAAAAATGTCCTCTGGGGAAATCACACACCATTAAGACCCTTTTTTAAGAACTGAGAATGGGGGAATATGCATTTTTTCATATTTCGATTTACTTAAAAGACTGCATAAGAAGAAAAAATTGATTTAGCTATGTGACTGAAAGCAAAGCCAAATACATAGTACTTTACTTCTGAAGATATAATGTTTAAATATTTATAATATTTCAGATTGACATTGGATATGTCTATGATGAGCCAGGTAAGTATGTGGGGTTTTTTAGGCAGAAACTCTTAAATTGGATCCAAATTAAAAGTGTGTCATTGAGCCATGGTTCACAGGGTTAAAGCATTAGAACTTTTGATTACCAAAAAAAATTACATCATCTGTCAATATCACCCTCCTTGGACATTTCCTCTGGACAGAATCCAGTAGAATGTTTTCACAACAATGCATTCCCTTCCATCCCACTGATTTAATTCTGCAGGTAGCCTCAGCCCCTGCACAATGGCACTTTAGCACCTCTGGGGCAAGTTGAAATGAGCAGATATGCCTATTTCTAGAAGAATGCAGGTTGGCAGAGCTCTCACAAGGGAGCTCTGCTGACCTGCCTCCTTCCAGAAATGAAGTTTTCTGCTTGTTTTGGAAATTCCCCCAAGAAGCACTAAGCCTCCTCTGGGTAAGCAATGGGTTCCTCTTGTAGAGTTCGGTCAAAAGGACCTGCTGCTTGCTTGGTGGAACTGGTTTGATAGAAAAGAATTTGCAGGCTGGAAATACTGTTGGATACTGCCCTCTGAGCTTGGCTGAGATTGTCACTGTAGCTGAGGGGAAATGGCTTCTCTAGCAGCAACGTGACTGTTACAAGCTTCCACAGAAAGTAGTGACGACTACCAGTCTAAATGGCTTTTAAAAGGGTTTGGACAGATTCATGGAGGAGGAGGCTATAAGTGGCTTCTAGCCTTGCTGGCTGTGTGCTACCTCCTTTACCAGTGGTGGCATGCCTGCATGCAGCAATTGCTGAGGAGCTTGGCCGGGGGAAGTCTTGCACCCATCCTGCTTGAGGGATCCTGTGGGCAGCTTGTTTGCCACTGTATGTACAGAATTAATGGACCTTTGGTCTGATCCAGCATGGCTTTTCTTATGTTCTTATGTCTCCCTGGCCAAAGTCCAACATGCTAACCTCTGCATTGCTCTTTGCCAGCTCACTGTTCTATGATAATTAGCTGATTCTAATAAATTTGGTATTATGCTATGTATGGGGTATGTGTAGATACATGCCTACACATATGTATGGGGACTGTCATGGTGAGTGTCTGCACTTTAACATTTATTATACCACTGATCCAGACTTAGTCATATGTGGAGTAGCCCCAGTGGAATAAATGGGATTTCAGTGGATTTGTTGTACATATGACTAAATCTGGATTCAGTCCCTACTATTTTCCTACAGCAGGTCATGAAAGGACAACTCTTAATATGGTGGTCCTCAGCAATGCAATTAAAGCTGCAGTCCTGCCTCCCCTTACTTGGAATTAGTTCCACTGAAATTAGTGGTGCATACTTCAGAGTAGGCATATATTGAATTACACTCAGAAAGGTGTTCCAACTGAAAGCACGCTAATGAAAATCATCTATAGATGTTTTGTTGTTGGCATAGGTAACATCACATTTCTTAACATTTATGTAGCCAAGATAGCATAGCAGTTTCCAGAGTAGCAGCAACAGTACTTTTTTAAACAATTCTGTTCTACCATGCCATAACCACTCTGATTAAGCTCCAGGTTTTTGTGGTCCCATGGGCACCAAAGTACCCATCACCTTCCCCCACTTTCCTCACTGTTATTGCATCTTATACATGTCTCCATCTTACAAAAACATAGACAACACACTATTTTTAAGGGTTACAATATTATTTCCCTGAACGTCTACTTTATATATTTCTTTTCAGGACATACAGTCATGAGAAAATGGCTGCTTCTAAATGACCCCGAAGATGCAAATTCTGGTGCCAAAGGGTACTTGAAAGTCAGTATGTTTGTTCTCGGAACTGGAGATGAGCAACCAGTAAGTCTAATATGTAAATAGATACTCAACCCCCCCATATTAATATACTTATATCAGTTACTTCATCCTGATATCCATGCCAGGAATTACATTTGGCAATAGAAAAACCAGAATAAGTAATTGTGCTTACTGTTTATTTCTTTTCCCTAGTTCTGCTTGCTCTGCTACTTCCCATCCTATCACTACAGTGCATCTTTTCTATGGCCTTCTACATTGCTGCCTTTCAAAGGTACATCTTCTCTTACCTTTTCCCTGTTTCTCGTCTTTTGGGTATAACTTCTTCTTGCTAATAATACTGCTTTTTCTTGCTGTGCACAGATGTTTCAGTAAATCACAAAGAAGACTGAGTATTTCATGAGACTACCTGTGTTCCCCCTCTATGTACTATGCAAATAATAGTACATTTATTATTAATTAGAATGATGAATTTATATCCTACTCCAAGTGCCATTTGGCACAGATGTCCGTAGAAGTGTTAGTCCATTTTCCTAAGACAGGAAAAAGTATGAAGTGCTTTATTTTTTTCTTATGTGATTCTGTGGTAATGTGAAACATCATAGCTAATAGTGATGTTATAATGATTCGCCCCAAGGCTTCAGCGAATGGGGCGGCATAGAAGCCTTCTAAATATAAATAAATAATGTGCATAATTTCAAAAATTATAAATCTGCCAAATTATGTATTTGTATTGTTGAAGTCATTCTACTGAAGGTGTATGAAACAAACCTCACAAGCGATGGTACTCTATAGAAACTACTGTTACAATAGAAGAGTCTCCCAGTACTTTGACCTGCTCACACTAAGACCATTACTGCAGGAGAAGCCGTGGGTGCCATCCTCTCAAGATGGAGATGAACCTCTGAACTCAGAGCCCACACTCATCCAGTGCAGAGCAAGGGGAGCTACTCCTGCTCTGTATTTTCTCTAGATAGCATGTTGGATGGGGAGAAAGGGAGACTTGGAGTGCTTCAACATACCTCATACCAATGTAGCCCCACTCTCCTCCCTCCCACCTTTTGAAACTCCTCTCTACCCCCACTGTGAAGTTACTTTCCCACCCTTGGAAAACAGCCAATGTAGTTCTTTCCACATCAGCAGGAGAGGTGTATAAGAGGTCCAGTTCCTATCTCTGAGGTTGGAGCGCTGTCTTTGACCCAGAAATTGGAAATCTGAACTATTTGGTGATCCAATGCTCTTGGTTGCACTTTTTGTATGTTATTAGAATCATATACTGGTTTTATTGATGCTGAATGGAATGCAGAAGCACAGTAAAATTCTATTCTTGTCAATATAAGTTATATGTCTACATCAGAAATTGACTTAAAAATTAAAACCTGTACTGCATCTGACAAGCCAACTTTCATTTCTAAAAACCTAGCTCCCCTTCTAAAGTAGTGTTGAGGGGATGATAGAACATCAAATGAGTGGCTAATGGTCCAACGCACAATTTTTGGCTAAGGACTGTGCAAGTATTTGTACTCCATATGCTAATTATTTGACAGTGTTCAGTGATTTTAACACTGTTTTTAATTTTTTGTCTGTCTTTTTATATGTTATAAAGTCAACTGCAGAAGCTTTTGTGGTGTCCAGAACCAGGTGAAATTATTCATGCGGTCACACATATTTCATGACTTATTAGCAGTGACAGATCTGTAGTATTTTTCGATGGAAGCCTTTTCAGGGGCAACATAGCAGGAGGAATGTGTGGCACTTTCACCCTTGTATTGCTTCACTCTGCTGACTTTCCTCCAGTCACATTTTAGATGTCAGGGAAAAGCCCTTGGCAAGGGAAAGTACCAACATCTTTGCTTACCTTTGCTACCCTCCCAGACACCATCCCCCATTGCCACTTTGCAGGAGAGATGCCTGGCCTAGGAAATGTGAGTTGGCTATGTCACATGTGTGAAAATACCCTTAGAACTGGGCTTAGTTTTCTAAAACATAAATGTATGTATTATTTTTGTGGATGCCCATAGCCAACAGAGCACTGTCTTATGCAAGGCACAGTTCAGTTTGGCCACAGCCTGTGGTTTCTCGGGGATACAAGGAAAGCACTTAGAAAAAGACCTAGAAAATAACTGGGGAGGCAGAGGTTAGGGTTCTGTATATAAGCAGCTCAGATCTGGAAAAACAATTCTGTGGTTCACTCTGCAACATTTTCAGATATTTGCTATTTAAGCAAGAGGGATTTTGTGGCCTTTTCTGTGGGAAAAAATGAAAATACATTTGAATGTGTCTCCAACAGGTGGAAAATAGAGAACGGGATAATGAAAATGATGATGTAGAGAGTAATCTTTTGCTACCGGCTGGGATAGTACTCCGATGGGTCACTTTTATTCTCAAGATCTACAGAGCTGAAGATATTCCTCAGAGTATAAACTTTATCATTTCTGAGTTTTGTGTAATTGAACTGGAAATATGTATGATTGAATTCTTTCACAAGCTTTAGCTGCTGGAGAGTTTGAGAGATTCAGAAGTTGTTGAAACATAGTTCTTCATTAAGCAGTTAATCATATAATTCCTGGTTTCTTGGTTTCAGTTTTCAGTCATCATTTCTTCTAATACTGGTTCAAGTCTTC